GATGGACAATCAAATACAGGATGCATTCAGAACCCCAAATAGACAAGATTAAAAAACAGTCTCTCCACAACACATTATAATTAAAATGCCTAGGATAGAATTTTTAAAGCCTCAAGGTACATCAGATTACATCAGGTCACTTTTAGAGGCAAGCCAATCAGAATAACTTCTGATTTCTTAGCACAAACTCTACAAGCCAGGAGGGTTTAGAACAATGTGTTCCAATCCCTGAAAGAAAATAACTGTTAATCAAGACAGTTATATCCAGCAAAGGTATCATTCAAAATCAAGATGAAATAAACATTCCAAGAAGCCAGACATGGTGGCACACACCTGTAATTCCAGCAGCTTGGGAGGCCGAGGCAGGAGGATCATAAGTTGAAAGTCAGCCTCAGAAACTTAGCAAGACCCTGTCTTAAAATAAAAAAAATAAAAATAAAAAAGGCTCTGGTAGTGGCTCAGTGGTTAAGTGCCCTCCCACAAAAAAAAAAAAAAAAAGAAAAACAAACAAACAAACACCACCTTAAAAGATAAGCAGAAACTAAAAGAATCCATGACTACTAAACTGGTACTATAGAACCTACTCAAAGAAATACTGCATATGGGGCTGGAGTTGTGGCTCAGTGTTAGAGGGCTTGCCTAGCATGTGTGAGGCATCAATTTTAATCCTCAGCACCATATAAAAATAAATAAATAAAATAAAGGTATTATGTCCATCTATAAGTGAAAAAAAATTAAAAGAAAGAAATACTGCATATGATAGAAATAAAAACAAACCTTGGCACTCACAAATGAACAAATCTCATTTGAAGAGTAGCTAAGCAAATGAGAAACAGGACCAAATTAAATGTGATAAATAAATCAAAGTGGCACGAATTAATAAACCTCTCTCCATAATAATATCGAATGTAAATGGTCTCAACTTTCCAATTAAAAGACATAGCCTGGTAGAACAAATTAAAACAAGACCCAATTTTATGTTGTTTGCAATAGATACACCTTAGAGACTAAGGCAGCCATGGGCTAAAAGTAAAAGGATAGGGTCTGGGATTGTGGCTCAGCAGCAGAGCGCTCACCTCGCATGTGCAAGACCCTGGGTTCGATCCTCAGCACCACATAAAAATAAATAAATAAAATAAAGGTATTGTTTAAAAAAAAAAGTGAAAGGATAGATATTAATATGGAGCTTGAAAACAAGCAGGACTGGCTATTCTCATATCCAGCAAAGCAGATTTTCACACCAAAATTAATCAAAAGAGATTAATTTCATATTCATAAAGGGAACAATTCAACAAGAGGATATAATGATAGTAAATATTTATGCCCCAAATATGGTTGCAATTAAGTACATTAAAAAATAATGCTACTCAAATTAAAAGCCTTAGATAGATTCCAATACAATAATCCTGGGTTATTTCAACATACCTGATAGGTCTTCCAGATATAAACTTGGTAAAAACTCTTTGGTCCTGAAAAATATTATAAATCAAGTGGACCTACATACATCTAAGGAATATTTCATCCAATGACAGCTAAATACAGTTTCTTCTTAGTGGCTCATAGAATTTATTCCAAAATGGACCACATTTTAGGCCACAAAGCAACTCCTAGCATATACAAAAAAAATTGATATAATTCCTTGCTTTTTATCAGATCTTAATGAAATTAGAAATCAATGTAACAAAACCCTACAGAAATTATATAAGCACATAGAGATTGAACAATAGCCCCCCTTTAAAATTATTTTTTTGTACCAGGGATTTAACTCAGGGGCACTTGACCACTGACTCACATCCCCAATGAGACCCTGTATTTTATTTAGATACAGGGTCTCACTGAGTTGCTTAGCACCTCGCTTTTGCTGAGGCTAGCTTTGAACCTGTGATCCTCCTGCCTCAGCCTCCTGAGCCACTGGGATTACAGGTGTGCACCACTGCCCCTGGCTGAACAATTACTCTTTTGAACAATGAATGGGTGATAGAAGAAATCAAGGGAGAAATCAAATATTCTTAGACTCAAATGAGAATAGTGATACAACATACCAGAACCTCTGGGACACTATGGAGGCAAGTTTATAGCTATGAATGCCTACATAAGAAAATCAGAAAGGGGGCTGGGGCTGTAGCTCAGTGGTAGAGCATTTGCCTAGCATGTGTGAGGCCCTGGGTTCGATCCTCAGCACCACATAAAAATAAATAAATAAAATAAAGGTCTATCTACAACTAAGAAAATATTAAAAAAAAAAAAAAAAGAAAATCAGAAAGATCCCAAATAAATAACCTAAACATGATTCCCAAGGTCTTTGAAAAAGAACAAAGCAAGTCCAAAACTAGTAGAAAAAAAGGAAATAATTGGGGCTGGGGTTCCGTTGTAGGGCACTTGCCTGTCATGTGTGAGGCACTGGGTTCGACAACTAAAAAAATTTTTTTTAAATCTTAAAAAAAGTATATAGTTAAGATCAGAGCCAAGATCAATGAATTTGAGAATAAAAAACAATAAAAGAATTAATGAAACCAAGAGTTGGTTCTTTAAAAAGATAAACAAAATTTATAAGCCCTTAGCCAAACTAACCAAAAGAAAAAGGGAGAAAAACAAAATTAATAAAATTTAAGATGAAGAAAGAAATTACCATCGACATCTCAGAACTTCAGCAGATCATTAGAGATTATTTTAAACTTATATTCTAATAAATTGGGCAATCTAGAAGAAATGGATATATTTTTAGACAAATATTATCTGCCAAAACTGAATCAAGAGGACACAGAAAACCTAAGCAGACCAATAACTTGTAATGAGATACAAGCAGTAATAAAAAGCTTTCCTAGTGTGGCTCAGAGGTAGTGCATTCGCATAGTATGTGTGAGGCACTGGGTTCAATCCTCAGCACTACATTTATTTATAAATAAAGGTATTGTGCTCACCTACAACTAAAAAATATTTAAAAAATAAAAAATAAAAAGCTTTCCAACAAAGAAAAAAACCAGGACCAGATGGATTCTCACCTGAATCCTACCAAACCTTTAAAGAAGAACTAATCAAATTATTCCATGAAATAGAAAGGGATGGAACACTTCCAAATTCATTCTATGAGACTATTATGATGCTCACACCAAAAACAACAACAAAAAAAAGACACACGGAAGAAAGAAAACTACAAACCAATATCCCTGATGAACTTAGATGCAAAAATACTTAATATTAGCAAATCAAGTTCAACAACATATTAAGAAGATTGTACACCATGACCAAGTTGGTTTTATTCCAGAGATGCAAGGATGGTTTAATATAAGCAAATCAATAAATGCAATTCATCATATTAACAGAATTAAGGACAAAAAATCACTTAGTAATCTTAATAGATGCAAAGAAGGTATTCATCAAAATTCAGCACCCGTTCATCATAAAAAAAAATCAAAGAAATTAAGGAAAGAAGGAACTTACCTGAATATCGTAAAGGCTGTATATGAAAAACCCAAAGCCAACCTCATAGTAAATGGGGAAAACCCAAAAACATTTCCTTTAAAATTTGGGATAAGACAAGGATGTTCACTCTCACCACTCCTATTTAATATAGTGCTAGAAATTCTAGCCAGAGTTATTAGGCAAGAGAAGGAAACAAAAATGATACAAATAGGAAAGGAAGAAGTCAAATCATCACTGTTTGCAGAGGATATGTTCCTATATTTAGAAGATCCAAAAAACTCCATCAGAAGACTGCTGGAGCTAATAAACAAATTTGATAAAGTAGCAGGTTACAAAATTAACACAAAAATCAATAGCTTTCCTGTATACCAACTACAAATCCACTGAGAACGAAATCAAGAAAGAGGTGGGACCTTTAAGAGATGATTAGGGTGCTGGGGATGTTCAGCAGTAGAAGTAGTGCCTAGCATGCATGAGGCCTCGAGTTCAATCTCAAACACCAAATGGAAAGAAAAGAGATGGTTAGATCACAAGAGCTCCACCATTGGGTAGGGTTGGTGCCCTCTCTTGCCCTTATGCCTCTTGTATCGAAGACCAGCTAAATCACAGTCTGAGAACTGACAAGACTTCCAGGTGATTCCTATATACTTCAGTTTGAGAAGCCTGAAATTGTGTGCTTTCCACATTTCTACCTGGAATACTGTGGACCCAAAGAAGCCATATTGATGATCCAAGGGCAACGTTAAGAAACCCTTTAGGCTGATGCCAATTGTTTTTCAGTGTCAATCAATAAATAGTCAATTCTCTGTGGTCAAAAAAAAAAAAGCTAATAACCGTCAAAAAGGATCTCTGGAAACACTTTACTTATGAAATCATAAAGAAAGTCTCTTAGGATTCCTTTTGCTTTAAATACAAAGCCAGAAAAGTAACTAGGGGGTGTAGCTCAGTACTAATGTGAAGTGTGTCAAGAAATACTATTTGTGTAGTGCTTTATAGTCAAATGGTAATTTTTTTTGTCTCTTGTAATGATCATAGGAGTTTATTACTGGGATTCAAGGACATATGACCAATAGCAGCAATAAGATTTAAATAGTGGGCTGGGGTTGTGGCTCAGAGGTTGAGTACTTGTCTAGCATGCATGAGGCATTGGATAAAAAAATAATCCTTAGCACCACATAAAAATGAAATAAAGGTATTAAAAAAAGATTTAAATATTTCCTTTGCCTTTTATTTATTTGCATGCTTGTTTCACTATATTAAGACAATAGAATGTAGGCAAATACCATAATGTGTGGGGTGGTAAAGTATTACTTTCCAGGTGCAAAGCAGCACTGTTTATCAGTTCCTGGAGACAGACTTGGAGTGATTACAGGGAGAAACCACAGACTATACTTGGGAAATGTTGGCTGAATCTCACGTTTTATTCTTGAAAGACTTTCACAGGTTGTTTTGTGGGGTTGTGGTGAGGGGATCTGTACCCTATCGGAGTTACTTTTTTTCCCCCAAGTAGAAAACTAAAATCATTGTGAACTGAATATATACGATTCTAGCTGAAATAACACCATAAGGCTTTAGAACTGATTTAAGGATGTGTTTATTTTATAAGATACAAATGTTTAATATTTAATAGGAATTAAAGTGCTTAATTTTACAGTATTTTCAATTATCTGCCTTTATGACCAAATATACATATGTTACACAATATATACACTTTGCAAATATTTTACATTCATATAGCTAGAAAAGAAAAATTGTTTACACTTTTTCACATTAGAGTCAATGGTAAAATTCTGATAACAGATCTTTTCAATCTTTGTCACCAAATCAAAAGAAAAACCCAGATAATATTTTCAAATATCAGTCAACTGACACTCACAAGATGAAATGCTAGTCTGGCTTTTAAAAAGTTTTATATACACACGTGATTGTTTTGCTAATGAAGACTCCCCCAGTGATACATTCCAATATCCATATACTATGTAATATTTAATGCAATTGTTACCCTAATGGTCCCCACAGATTATTGTTTTTTCCCAAACCTATATTTCATTCTATATGTTTAGTATTCACTTATTAAAATATACTAAGAGGTTTTTTTGATTTAATTTTTCACTAAATCTACCACAATGAATTTTAGGAAAAGGGATGACCCTCATATAATCCTCAGTGACTCCAACAAGTAAACTGTCTCGTTAAAGTCATGTGCTATTTCAGCTCAAAACAGAAAAGACTGCATTCTCACAGGTGCTCAGTCCAGAAAGTAAAAGATTATAAATTAATTTAGAGGGAAGTTTTGCCTTAGCAAAAGTACAAAAAAATATTCTAAGAGAATGAAACTATTTTTAAAAAACCTAAAGGAAAACAATAACAAGAAGATACCATAGTTTATAATTTAGAGGCCAAGGTCAAAGCCTGGGTGCAATGAATCACATCAGCATGCAAAAACATAGATTTGTAATTTATGGTTTATATTCCTTCTGCAGCTTAAGTATTTTTCTCTTAACACACTTTGCTCTGATCTGGAGACTATCTACCTGTGTTCATTCTTATTTTTTTCAATTTCTCATCTTATTCATCTCTACCAAATCTGTAAAGAAAGCAAAGTTACCTTCCCATGACTCAACATGATTCAGGGGCATGTATGAGGATGAATTATATATTCAAAATCCATGTAAACAACTTGTTAAAATATTTCAACTATTAAAATTTCTTTCCTATGGAAAGAGAATTGAAAATCAATAAGTTTTACATATGTACATACAATAGAAATTCACAAAAAGGATTTTTTAAGAAGACCTAGTGGTCTTTCTACTTAATCATATTCTCTAAATCTAGAGAAGCTATAGTAGACAGTAGTATGAAAATAAAAAGTAGCTTGAATCTAATAAAACTGGGTAAGAATGAAGAAGTAACATGATCCACTATAGATGTCAACACAGTCCTAAGAAGAGGAACTGGCTAGCCACATAGTCCTTATATTAATACATTCTTGTAGATTAAAAAATTTACTAATGAAAACATTGATATTCTTGCCTTTGAAATTTTAGCTTATAAATACCATGTGCTTAATCTTAGACCCACTAACATGAACATTATGTGATGCAGGAAATTTTAATTCTCCTCTAATAGAGCACTATAGCAAGGATACTTACCAAAAAAAGACCTTTGTTCCTTAAAATGTACTTATGTATTTGCTCCTGTTGGTGTCTATTCCTCAGAATATATCCATTGCCGAAAGATCCGTTTAGAGAGATATCACAGACAGTATGCTTAAGAATAACTTAAGGCTTTGGATACAAATGAACAAGATCTAATGTTTGAAGGCAGGGAACCCACCTTGTCTCCACAGAGATAAGAAAAAGTAAAATAGAATCATGAACTTCCACATGGATTTTTGAGAAAAGGTTTTTAGAAGGCATCAATGAATCTATAACAACCCTGCAGTACCATGAAGTTTACAGATTTCTTTATATATTTATGACAGAACAAGTGCTCTTTAAAAAAAATACATAGGGTGCATTTAAAAGATGAATTTCTATAAAAAGTTTGGTAATTAAAAAAAATTGGAGTGGGTTGCCCAGTAAAGGTAACCTGAATATTGAATTAATGGAAAACAAAATATAGCTTAATAATATAATACATATATGTGCTTTACTTGTTTCACTTTCCACACTCTTTGAGAAAGTAAAAATGATTTTGATAGTATTTGAATCCAAGGAATGATGCCCACCCCTTCCCCACCATTTACTTTCTCAGTATTCAGCAATTACAATTATACTATATAGGAAGTCAGTCTTCTATATGCTTGTGACTAGGGGTCTTCATACTAAACTTTCAATATAAAACCATATCTGGAGAGTTTATTGCTTGCATATAAGCTGGCATTACAGATGCCATTATTATGAAAGTGGCTGGAACTTTTCATTATTGAGCTCCACTTAAAACCTTGATAAAAGTCTCACACTTATCAAATGATAGACTTTCAACAAAAGCAAAATTTAAGTTTTTTAAAAGCTGGAATGTTTTCTAATGAATATAGTTTTATCAAAGAAGTATTTTTAACTTTAGAAGAAGGGCACTTAACAAGATGACTTTGGAAAGCACCAAATTGGACAATGACCATTAAAACCCATATGGAATGTTGATTTTAATAGGAAAGTTTCTTTTCTTTTTTTTCAATTCAGTTTGTCATGACTGCTCACACCAATTGCTCTTTAACAACCTCCTCGAGGTCTCTTAGTTGAACAGCTAAGAGTATTTTACCTTTCTCCAAGTAAATGTGTGATTCTTTAAAGAGACACAAATGAGTGAGGCTGCTACCCTGCATCTCTTCGTGCTTGACTGACTGAAGATTGTGGGATGAAAAGTGAAGATGATGGCTAGGTAACCAGAAATTTTCTTCTAGTTCTGATATTTCTCAGAAAAAAAAAGTAAAGAGAATGACTACTAAGAGCACGTTAATAATACTCTTTGTGAGTATTCTTTCCATAACCTAAGTTAGACAACATTGAATGTGTTCATGTTACTTTTATTCTAAAAGGACTTACTGGTAGGAAAAAAATTGAGTCGTCTGGCTGCTCAAATAATTTTCAAAAATAATCTGACTCATAAGTTGTCTAGTTGCCATATATATATATATCCAATGATCTATTCACATTTACAAGTCATCCTGCTCTGATAATCATTCTATACTTTTATTGCTTCTCTCTTCTTGAGATTAAGAAACCAAAGTATTATCTATAGCTGTCATTTTCTCAATAACCATCCTGGACCCGTTTTTCTTTCTTTCTTACACACATACCACAGCTGGCAGCTAGGAAAGAGAAGCAATGTACATTTTCTTTCAGTTTGGTCCTGATTTAATAGGGTACAAGAAGCTATCTTTTTCTCTTTGTGGCTCTAAGTATTTGGTTTAATGTTAATGATCATGGCTGGTATTCCTTTCATGGAGGAAAGGAACCTAATTATGTCAGCCATAATTGGTTCATTTACTCCTTTGGAGTGGTGGGAAAAAAAAATCTTAAGACATATTTCTTAAAGCAAAAGGGCCTGAAATAAATAGCAGTTTCAAACTGAGTAAATGTAGATATTTACTCATTGTCTACATTTAAGATGCAGTCCTTACAGACTGAGGATAGTAAATTTCTAGCAGATTGGTATATAAAAAGTGATAATGCTTGAGTTATGATAGTGTAAAAGGAAATGAAAAACTGAGGTTGAGAAAAGGATTAAATAAGCAACTCCATGTGAGATTTTAATCACCAGTAAAATAGAAAAGAAGAGCAGCAGCCTTCATGAAAAAGAATTGCAATCTATTAAAATTCCACAGAGGATAAAAGGGGGAAAATTTCTCCTTTAATCATTTGTACCTTCTGAAAACCTGCCATTAAAATATTGCTTTTTGAATGTTGTCCTCCCGACCCCCTGCTCATCTCTGGGGAGGTGGTTGTGCATAAACTTCCTTTACTATCTTTCAACCCCTGCCTTCAAACATAGGCTATCGTGTGTGAATTTTGTTTCACATCTGACCAAGGAATAGGCCCACATAGTTATCTTAAGTGTTCATCAGATATAGTCCTTATTCAACCATGCATAACAGTCACATGGAAAAAGGAAACAATGACAATAAATGCAGTTTCCACATGTCCCAGGTTCTCTGTAAGGTCAGGTGTCTTCTATAGTTCAAGTTTTGGTGAAGATTTTTGCACACGCTGATGTTATACTACAACAGTTATATTTTTGTAAAAGGTAAATTAACCCGTATGACTTTGACCACCCCAGTGACCAAAATGCACTTTAATTTCAGAATAATCAAGACTGAAACATTAACTAAACACTCATCTTATATTTAAATAGGTATTAATAGCACCTTCTAAGAGAGGCACTGTTTTAAATAGGCACAGAACAAAAACAAACAAAACAAAAAAAAAACTTTAAAAATACTGTTGGAATTCACTAATTTGCCCCATGCCACTTAATGCTTTTTCTTATAAAAATATCAACACCCTTAGATGCCAATCAGTTAAACATAAATCACCAAAAACATTTAAGTTTAGAACACTGCTCAATTCCAAGATAAAACATGCTTTTTATTTTAAAAATAAATTAGAGATGAATGTGAACCTAAAGCTGAAGAGAAAAGCATGTATAGTATATATATTTATATTTAATACTATATACAGATAATTGCTATATACTTTAGATATTCTGAAGAGTATTTCTACAAAAAACAGGTATTATCTTTTAAGTCAAAAGGTTGAACACCAATAATTTGTCCTTTTTCTTTTGTTTTAAAAGAACATATATCATTTATGCAGCTTGAGATTTATAAACTAAATAAGTTAATATTAATAGCTAAACTGTCCCTGTATTTATCACCATGGATCTATTTTGGCAACACGGAGGTATATCTTTTAAACTGTTACAGATCCTACATGTGAAAGAGAAGACATTGAGGGATTTCTTAAATGAAAGTGGCCCATTCTAACCTGGTAGTGATACAATCAATTGACACCATTTTCTTCAAGACAAAAAGCACATATTCTAGTTCATAAAAACTCCATTTTTCACATTATTTCAAAACTTTACTGGGAGAATGGCTCTGCACATTAATTTTACTAAGAGTACACAAATGGGAAAACAATCCCCAACAGGTGGCATTGATGAGCCTATAGTTTTCAACGTAAAGTGCTAAGAGGTGAGGAAGGAGAGCTGGGGATATCTGGAGCTGAACGTCTTGCTTGAGACCACACGCTGCAGCTGATCCGAGAGTTCAACATTCTGATTTTTTCTTAGGTTCAGGATGATCGTCCAAAGTGGCTAGGTGCTCATTTGGACCATCTGGTGTCTCACCTGTGACAGCTAAAAGAATGATTTTCAGCCACTTCTGTTTCAGTTCCTCACTGTCTGCAGCAAAGCTGTGCACAGACTTGGACTGAGTCAGTTTGAAACTGTGCGGCAGGTCTGCACTCCTTGGCATTTCATCCACGACATAGCCCAGGAGTGGAATGGTAGCTTGGGCTCTGACATCCTGCGCAAAGAACATTGCATGAGGGAGAGAGCTGTTAGTCTGTTGTGTGTGTGGCCCTTGCTCCTACAAAACCTCTCTTGCTACAATTGCCCAACCCAGATTCACTCCAAGAGCTCCATGGGTAGAGGGGGTGGTTCCAATGCCTGGACATGAGGCCGATGGAGTTGGCTGAGTGAATGCATGAATGAGAGCACCCACTGATGCTATTACCTCCTTTCTGAGGGAGCTCATTCAGCACTCTACTTAGTGGTACTAGGGATTTAACCCAGGGTGCTTTACCACTGAGCTACATCCCCAGCCCTTTTTATTTTGAGGTAGGGTCTCTTTACATTGCTGAGGGCCTTGCTAAGTTACCGAGGTAGGCCTCAAATTTGTGATCCTCCATTCTCAGCCTCACAAGTCACTAGGATTATAGGTGTAAGCTACCAAGCCCAGCTCAACTTTTCTTAATGTTTCCTATCATTAAAAAGGTGTGCTCTCCCTTTTTACTTTTTCCTCTGCTTCCCTTTCTCCTCCTCATGTTCTTTCCTAACTCAATTCACCTTTTCTCAAACCCACTGAATAGGAAATGAGCAAAGAAAGGGGATAAATGATTCACAGGGTGAAGAAAACAGCAACTATAAAATTTATAATCTTAAACAACAAACTTAAGTTATTCATTCTTTTTATTTTTGGTAATGGAGATTGAACTCAGGGGCACTCAAACACTGAGCCACATCCCCAGTCTGTTTTTGTATTTTATTTAGAGACAGAGTCTCAGTGAGTTGTTTAGGGCCTTGCCAAGTTGCTGAGGCTGGCTTTGAACTTGCGATCCTCCTGCCTCAGCCTCCTGGGCCACTGCAATTACAGATGTGCACCACCACATCCCACCTATTTTTCTATTTTAATGAGACACAATGACAGCCTGAGCTCTTTTGTTCTAGGGAGGAGCAATGGCAGGATTGAGTTCACTGTCCACATGTCTCCCTCTGTCCCTGGGGGCATCTTGTCTTCAAGCAGATGTGGTTTAGTTACCTGGGGGGCACCGTACATGTACAGCACAAGAGGGTCTTGCTTGGGGATCACACACCAAGCTTTCTGCCAAGGTTTTGTTTTCTCCATGTACTGAAGAAAGCTGCACACCACACTGTTTCCAGATACTTCTGCAGATTCAATCTAGAGCAATTATGATGGGCAGAAAGAATAAACAAAATAAAACCGAAGTGGTTCAACTTAGGGAAAATACTCAAAGAATATGTATTCATATAAAATGTCTTCTAGAATGGTCCAAAAAAGATTAGTTTGCAATTACATTTGAAACTCTGTCACTAACATGGAAAAATACTTAGGTCAACTCTAACTCTTACTAGAAATCTCTTTATTTATCTATCTATTTTTACATGAGCTCTTATTATTATTATTATTATTATTACAATTTTTATTTTTAATCTTTATTTCCATTACAATTCTTAATACACCTATATACCACAATTTATCATATCTCTGTATACAAAATGACACAGCCACATCAATGTTTATAGCAGCACAACTCACAATAGCTAAACTGTGGAGCCAACCTAGATGTCCTTCAATGGATGAATGGATTAAAAATGTGGCATTTATACACAATGGAATATTACTCAGCCCTAAAAAATAATAAAATCATGGCATTTGCAGGGAATGGATGGCATTAGAGTAGAACTCAAATTTGAATAAACATGTATTGACTGCTTTTTAAAGGCAGTTTTCTCTGCTTGATACATGTATTTAATTTAATCATCATATCAACATTGAGAAGTTAGTACTTTCATTATCTCTGAAGCTCAGCTTTTTTTTTTTTTTTTTTTAACCAGGGATTGAACTCAGGGGCACTCAACTACCAAGCACATCCACATCCCTTTTTTGTATTTTATTTAGAGACAAGGTTTCACTGAGTTGCTTAGGGCCTCACCATTGCTGAGACTGGCTTTGAACTCTCAATCCTCCTGTCTCAGCCTCCTAAGCCTCTGGGATTATAGGTGTGAGCCACAGTGCCCAGCTAGAAGTTCAGCATTTTTAAACAGTTTCCCCAAGAGCACACATTTAGGAATTTGTGTGCTAGAATTTTAGCCCAGTACGAATCCAAACCATGAACTTTGAGCCACAATACTCCAACAATGCATAAATGCAATAGCAAAAAAGGTAAAAACTGATCAATTGTCCTAGTACCTGAGGTAATTTAAAATATTTCATCGTGACAAATTTTTGAAAAGTCATTTTATAGTTTTCTGCTTTGCTTTTAATATATTAATTACTGTCAAAAAAGGAAATAAAACCATTTACCTAAATTTTTATTTTACACTTTTATTTTATTATTATTATTATTATAATATCGGGAATTGAACTCAGGGATACTCAACCACTGAGCCACATCCCCAGCTTTATTTTGTATTTTATTTAGAGACAGGGTCTCACTGAGTTGCTGAGCACCTCAGTTTTGCTGAGGCTGGTTTAAACTCATGATCCCCTTGCCTCAGCCTCCCAAGCTGCTGGGATTACAGGTGTTTGCCATTGAGCCTGGCTTCTATTTTTATTTCTGAAACGGTATGGTGCTACTCAGTTTTGTCACGGAATGTGAATGTGAGAGATAAGAGAATGCATACATACACTTAAATGTATACCAGAGAATAACTTTGTGTAGTGGTTAACAAACTCTGGCCAAAGGGCCAGAGAGAAAATATTTCATTCTTTCCAAGCCGAGAGGCCATACCAAGTAACATAGATACTTATATGAAGAAAATAAACTTTCGCAAATTTTCATTGACAAAATTTAAAATATTTGGTATGTACTTAAATTTTTTTTTTTTAAATGTGCGTCTATTAATCAGAATGGAGTTCTTCTGGGGAAGATAACATTTTTTTCCCCCAAAGTGCTGATTTGTTACCAGGTGATACACATTTCTGTGTAAGAGTAAACATTAAGAAACTTTCATAGCAATTTGACTTTGTGATGATACCTAACTGCATGCTTGTGTATTTTTGTTGATCTGTGATGGTTTGGTTATAACTGATGCTTCATCACAGATACATCACAGATAGTTTCTTGTGAAACTATCTGTGTTTAAGAAGAAACTATCTGTATTGGCAAATGAAAACCTGCAAGTTAACTCCACCTGCTTTTGTATGGCCTACAAGATAACAGTAGTTTTTACAGATGAATATTTACAATCAACTTGATGATAAGAACACTAACTTTAGACTCCAATTAAATGAAATGTCATCTTCCCCCAGAGAATTATATTTTTCTTATTTGCAGACCCATATTACAAAACCTACATATGTAATTTATAATATTTTTGAATTTTTAAATCCAAACAATGGCTCAGCAGTGAAGAGGATAAGCTTGCAAATATAATAAATCAAATACATTGAATTTTGTCAACATAATTTGTGGAAACTTATTTCTTTTTGTTTTAAAAACACTGATTTAATATTCTTGGTCTGGCCTTTTGGTCTGCAAAGAATAAAATATTTTCTCTGACCCTTTTATAGAGAAGTTGACCACTGTTCCACAGCACACAACAGTCTAGCTGGGACAGTGTTAAGTCTCAGATGCATACATATTAAGTGCATGCATGCTTATCTCCTACTTATGGACTGCACATTGTATTTAGTTAAATGAGTTAACCAAATAAGTAAATGATTTTCCCTCAGTATAAGGTTTTCTAGAAAACCAGCTACTGATTTTTATTTCACAGAGACACCCTGAAACTCATCATTTAACACATGATCTGACTCATTATACTGTACCAATTTCATGAGCTGCTATTAAGTCTTGGGGCTCAAGCTGTGTTCCTGGGGGTAAATGAAGAGTATCCTCCTCTCATTCTTGCCCAAGAAAGCAACATCTTGGTCTGCCATACAAGTAACACCTACATCCCATTGGGATTCAGAATTATATTTAGAATTTCAGCATATAGGCCTATATTTTAACTTCAAACAGAGAACTTGGAGTTTAAGATCCTTTTTCAGTTAACAGAAATGACCTTTGTATATTTACCTCAATAAGCTCAATTAGCAGTTAATCTTTAGAAAAATTTTTGTTAGTACCAGGGATTGAACCCAGGGTTGCTTAACAACTGAGCCACATCCTAGCCTTAAAAAACAAACAAACAAAAAAACCCCCTCTTTTTAAAAAATGTTTTTAAATTACATATATATATATATATGTATGTATATATGTGTGTGTGTGTGTGTGTGTGTGTTGTGTGTGTACACACACATACATAATATATAATTTTATTTATATATAAAATATATATGTGTGTGTGTATATATATATATATATATATATATATATATATATATATATATATATATATTTTATTTTGCTAAGTCCTTAGGGCCTTAAGTTGCTGAGGTTAGTCTGCAACTTGCAATCCTCCTGCCTCAGCCTCCTAAGCCATAAGGATTATAAACGTGTACTGCCACTTTAAAAATTCTTGTTAAACCAAATCTCTAATTTTTGGATACATAGAATTTTGATCCTATTTCCAGGCTTCCCTGAACTTCCTGCCACAAAGGCCTTATTACATAAAGGCTTATATTATCTTTGACTGTGAACCCATTTCAGATATGTAAGTTCTATTGAACTGGCTATTAAATGACTGTAATGAACTGGCTATTTATTTTAATACAATAAGTTGAAACGCTTTCCTATAAAGAAAAGATTCTATAATTTGAATGTTAGAAGACATGCAAACTAATACTCTAATATTTGATTATAGCTACTATGTGCATGTTGGTTAACACAGCCCCTCTATCTGTCCAACCAAGTAAGTTCCTAAAAGTTATCTTGCTTATTGTGACTCCAATTATTAAATACTAAGAGGAACAAAGTATATTACTTGTATTCCTCGTGGTTAAGAGAATTCTATGTTCCTGGCAGAAACACCTAAAAGATGTCCAACATTTAATATTTCATACCTCTAGAATTCCTTTCCTTTTCTTTTCTTCACTGTCTGTGAATCCACTTATTATTTGATAACAATCTTTACAGACTTTGCTCAGTTTCCCACCATCATACTCAAGTTGAGCTTTGTAGTCAGAACACTTCCAGCAGACCACCTTAAATTTTGAAAAAAGGATAATGAAGAGTGAATAGCCGTCTTTAGAAGACAAGAAGGTTTAATCAATAATCAATTATACATAATAATAAATGAGAAAAAAATCAAACACACAGGGAGGATTTTTGTTAAACAACATCCACATAAACATTTGAAGTAAATATCAAGGTGTTGTAATCTGTGATGGGCTCTGCTTATCCTTTTCTTCTTGACTTCCTGGAATAGGAGATCCGATCCCTGAAGGCTTGGTCCAGACCTTTATTTTTATACTTCTGGATAATTCATCCATCTCCTTAAAATTCATGATGTTCCCTACCCTGGGCTCTCTTCATATGGGGACTCCTCCCCTTTCAACCTGTTCTTATAAATCCTATCACAAGAAATGGCCCAGCTACCCAACCAGTCATAAAATAGTAGGAAACATAGGAATCGTTCCCACCATCCTCCTACCTCACTCCATAAATTCACCATTTTAAGTTCTGCTGATTTTACCTCCTAAACATTTCTTCAGTCTTGTCTTTCATATAATCACTCAAGTCTAAACTATCAGCATACTAATTTGGACTACTTTTATAGCCTCTTGACTAGTCCTCAAAGAATTCTTACTGGCTTTCAGGCCTCTACTCTTAAACCTCCAGGCTATAGATTATGCTAAGTGAATCTAGCCAATCCCTAAAAAACAAATGCCAAATGTCTTCTTTGATATAATGAGAGTAACTAAGAACAGAGTAGGGAAGAAGAGCATGAGAAGAAGATTAACATTAAACAGGGATGAGAGGTGGGAGGGAAAGGGAGAGAGAAGGGAAATTGCATGGAAATGGAAGGAGACCCTCAGGGTTATACAAAATTACATACAAGAGGAAGTGAGGGGAAAGGGAAAAATAATACAAGGGGGAGAAATGAATGACAGTAGAGGGGGTAGAGATAGAAGAGGGGAGGGGAGGGGAGGGGAGGGGAGGGGAGGGGAGGGGAGGGGGGATAGTAGAGGATAGGAAAGGCAGCAGAATACAACAGACACTAGTATGGCAATATGTAAATCAATGGATGTGTAACTGATGTGATTCTGCAATCTGTATATGGGGTAAAAATGGGAGTTCATAACCCACTTGAATCAAAGTGTGAAATATGATATATCAAGAACTATGTAATGTTTTGAACAACCAACAATAAAAATTAAAAACAAAACAAAACAAAACAACAACAACAAAAAACCTCCAGGCTATTTTCCAATCAGCCAGATGCTTTCTTAAATATGCTAACCTGATGTGATCCTCTTCTTTTTAAAACTCTCCAGTCTCTCCTTTGCTCATTGTTAAAGAACAAATTGTGAAGCATGGACTATAAAGTCTTGTGTAACTGGCCCTCTTCCTCCCCCGGCTCTGACTTCTTTTAGCCCCCAAAGTACATGTTCCCTTGCTCTCTCATCTCTGCTTCAGTGAGTTAATTTTGCTAACTCAAATTTCACTTCCTCAAGAAAGATTTCAGGGGTCAGGGTTGTGGCTCAGTGGTACAGCGCTTCCCTAGGATGTGTGAGGCAGTGGGTTCAATTCTCAGCACTGCACATATATAAATAAAATAAAGGTCTGTCAACAACTAAAAACAATAAAAAAAAAAAAAAGGAAGAAGAAAGGTTCCAACTTCCAGAATAGAACCTGAGTCCTGTCACTGTGCCACGAAGTTTCCTGTACTTTTTGATTACAGTTTTTAATTACTTACTTGTAAGATTGTTTGTCTCCTTTACTAGGCTATAAACTCCAGGAGAGATTATTCTTGAATAGTTTGTTCACCAGGCATACAATAAACATTACAGAATGTCAGTGAATGAATGACTATAATGCAAACAAATGCATGTTACTTTTTATTTTTATTTTTTATTTTTTTTTGCATGTTACTTTTTAGTGAATGGTATTCAAATTTCTAATTACTATAGGATAATTGTTTAAAACTTTTCTAGTTTAAGAAATTACTTTTTTATTATTATTATGGAGGTACATCCCCTCACCAATGTATAGTGAACTGTATCTAAGAAACATAAATATCAGTCAAAAATTTTTTTCCTGCGCTGGGGACCAAACCCAGGGCTGTCTATGTACCAGGCAAAGGCTCTATCACTGAGCCACATCCCCAACCCCTAGTCAAAATTTTAAACTAGGTTTATAGCATTCAAAATTCATGATAAAAATGGTCAGGGATTGGGTATAGCTTAGTGGCAGAGTGTGTACTTAGCATGAACAAAGATCTGGGTTCAATACCCACCCCCTTAAAAAAAAAAAATCCTGCCATTTTCTTATAATGAAATTACTTTAGGGGGATTTAGAATTAGACTTGTCTGTATCTGCTAACTCAAATCAACTGTTTTATTTATTTTCAAATCATATAGTATTTTTTTAAATTTTTATTTATTTTTTAGTTGTACACAATGCCTTTATTTTGTTTATTTATTTTTATGTGGTGTTGAGGATTGAACGCAGGGGCTCGAGCATGCCAGGCGAGCACTCTACAGCTGAGCCACAACCCCAGCCTCATATAGTATTTTGATATTCTACCAGCACACATTATTGTTTGTTGACCAAAGGCAAGCATGTCAATGCCAGAAATGATTTTTGATAAACTCAATGATAGATTTAAAAAGTCTTACTCTAAGATGTTTGTTATTTGTTTAGTTTTGATTACAAAACTAAAAGCTGAGTCTTAGAAAAAGAGAAAGAATAAATCTGCAATAAAATGAGAATAAGCTAAAAGAAATATCAACATAAATTGTTGCAGGTAAGCACACAACAAATAAATCATGATGCTGCAATGCTTACAATGAAGTTTACCCATTCTTCTTAACAGAAAGGATCTAGTCTTCAGCTTGGTTCCCCCCCAATCCCCCAAATTGCTGCTACCTCTTTGTAGCTTCATTTCACGCTTTCTCGTCACTCTTTCCAATGACACTCAGCTCAATGGCTGATCAAACTATGTTCAAATTTTATTTATAAGTAATATCATTACTTTTCTATATAACATTGTAATTATTAATTCATATCATAAACATATTATTAGATAATTAACTTAAACTTTCATAAATAACCAAAGAATACAAAACATGCCAGAAAATGTGTAAGTTTTATAAGTTTATGTAATAATTGAGATATATATATATATATATATATAGAAAGACTGTGTAAAAAGTCATAATATGAAATATGTAGCCATGATTAAACATATTTTTTACTCTTGATTTTTATCAATATGGCAGAATAGACACACATGAAGAATCCTTTTGCCCTCATACAACTGGCTTCTAGACACAACAAATGTAACTTTAAAACTTGACTTGACTTTAGAGAGAATTCTCCAAGGTATAAAGACTAAAATCCAATGAATAAACAAAAGAAAAGAAAAACAGTGAGCTGAAAGTATAATGATTAATAAACTGTGCAAACTCAAAGTTTATATTTGGAAAAAGTCCTAGGGCCTGAAGGAATGGGGAAGTGAAACAGAGACTCAGTCATTTATACTAAACTTATGAAAGGAGGATCATGAAATATCGACCAAACATGAGCTCACAATCAGACTAGCAAAGTATTTCAGAAAATAAACCGTCATGAACCAGAATTAGTAGAAACAACCACCAATAGACTTTGACCACTCAAAATTCTTCAGATATTGGCATTACCAGACAGAAATCCTGAAGTTATATGAGAAGGGTTTGAAAAAAAATAAAGTGGCAAACAACACAAAAACTATAGAAATGAACAGGCAGATTTAGAAGGAAAAAAAAAAAAAAAACTCCCAGAAATAAAAAATAAATGCAGGGCTGGGGATGTGGCTCAGGCGGTAGCGCGCTCGCCTGGCATGCGTGCGGCCCGGGTTCGATCCTCAGCACCACATACAAACAAAGATGTTGTGTCCGCCGAAAACTAAAAAATAAATATTAAAATTCTCTCTATCTTAAAAAAATATAAATGCAAACAAATTCTCCTTAGCTACAACTAAGGAGAATGTCCAAACTAATAGAATTAACAAAATACAGATATGCTACAAAGAGAGGCATGGAGATAGAGACCTGGAGGGTAGAATGGGAAGGTCATGTAACACAAAGACCATATTGTATAACGTTTGAATCTTCCTTATAGAGGAGTTGAGGAAATTATAAGAAATAACATATTCACAATAGTTCCAACAATTCTTGGCACTAGTACACCATAAATGGTAGCTACTCTTTTTATCATTACTGCTACTCTCCTCTACAAACTTGCTTCACTTTTCTATATATTTTTATGTCATTTAATGACATTACCATTTATTCACCTAATCTTAATGTGGGGAGTCACTCTTGATTACTCATTTTGCCCAACTTAGAACCATCTATCTCCCTTTCAAACTTGGTCAATCAAAGCATGGCATGTCTGACTTTCAATGACCTCATCTTTACCTACATTTCTAGTCCCAGCTAGCACAGCCAGTCCCTGTCTTACAGTGTTTGATATCAAGCCAGCCTGTATCCCCCAATATATCAATTGTATCCTCAGTTCAAACATGCTGCCCCACTAATTCTCTGGAAGCTGCTCTCCCTTAGGATGCCATGTCACCAAGGGAAACATCTAGGTCTCTGGCAATAGGTCTGGTTGACCATTGTCAACTCAGAGACCTGAAGAATTGACTCCATCACACCTCAGTTTCCAGAAGGCCTGGTCTTTCCAGTTGTTTTCCTAGGCTCTTCCCATACACACTGCTTTGTATATGATGTAGTCCCCCATCTTCCTTCCACCCCTCAGAACCCTCTCACAGGGCCCTCACTCATGAATCCTCAAGTAGAGGCTGCCGGTTTCTCTCACCTCCCCTTGTGCCATCTCTGAAAACCTCAGGGCTGAAAGCTGGGGTTTGTAGCCTTTGGTTTTCTTCTTGCCCTCAAAACCCTCCCTGGCTTTAGCCTTTTCCCCTACTGAGCTATTGTCTCCTCATCATCTGCCTCACCACCATTCACTCGGGATTTTATAGCTAAAATGGATCTTAGTTCACCAGGGTATCACAATGCCTGGTGACTTCAACATCCACATGACTAACCCACTGAACTGACTTCTTAGGTCCCTATTGCCTGTGCCATTCTTATGAGGTCTGTCTCATGGCTACCCACGAGACTGTGTCACCACCAGGGACTGATCCACATTTGACACGACAAGTTCAAACATGACTTGCTTGCTGGCAGTGGTCCACTAAGATGCAGCTTTGAAATTACAGAACCCCTTCTGTCTATTGACCCCACCACTTTCTCAGCAGCCCTCTGCTCTCCCTCTGAGCTTTCCTACCTTCTTTGTTATTAGCTTAGACTTTCTTTATTCATTATGAACTATCTGATGAAGACACCCCTCTCTCTCCTTGTTTTTCTCACTATATTGACTCTGGATAAACTCTGCCATTTGCCTTCTCTGGCCTGAGCTGAATTTTGTTAGAGAAATCATTGCCATTAAGCTGATGACTATCCCTTTAATCTTATGACCACAGACTACTAATGAGCATCTAGTCCGCCTGTGTTTCTCTGGCAGGCTTACCTTTTTCTGCCCAAGGCAAACCGTTTTATACTTAGTCTTCTCTCTTGAATCTTCCCATCTCCCCCTTCCTTCCTCCTTCACTCTCAACTTACGACTACCTCATTCTTCAGTGAAAATACAACATTGAACCTAAACTCCCTCATTTCACACCACAAAGCCATAAACAACAGCAACCTGTCCCCATTTGTACCCATCTTTCCTTCTGTTATAATGTTCCCCTCTGCCCATCAAAAGCCAGAACTTCTACCTGAAGGGTGAGTTCCACTTCTTCTTGTCTTCTCAAAGACACCAAGTCCTCTGGGCATTCTCTCTTACCACCTCTCACGCCACACTGCCCCTTACTCATCATGTTCCAGCCACGTGGCTTTTGGCAATCTTGTGACTAGAGCAACCTCTTTCCTACTGCAGGTCTTTGGCTCAGACTCAACGTCTGCAATACTCCTCCTGTCTCCTCCTTGGGATTAGCTCTTTCTCCCTCTTTAGGTATCAGCTAAGTACCAACCCTTCAGGTAGGTCTTCTTTTTTTCTAAATAAAATTGGTTCCAAATCTTCCATTACTCCTACCTTCTCTTTTAACTTCTTGACCATTTTCTAATTCTGTTGACAGTAATTCGAAACTCTTGTCTTTCTCCATTACAATGTAAGCTCTGTGAAGCTGGGATCATTTTGTTTACCAGTTTTTTTTTTTTTTTGCTACTGGGGATTGAACTCGGGGCACTCAACCACTGAGCCATATACCAGCCCTATTTTGTATTTTCTTTTCTTTTCTTTGGTGCTGGGAATTGAACTCAGGGGCACTCAACCACTGAGCCACCTCCCCAGCCCATTTTGGATTTTATTTAAAGACAGGGTCTCACTGAGTTGTTCACCGCCTCACTATTGTTGAGGCTGGCTTTGAATTTGCAATCCTCCTGCCTTATCCTCCCCAAGCCATTGGGATTACAGGTATGTGCCACTGTGCCTGGCTCCTATTTTGTATTTTCTTTAGAGACAGGGTCTCACTGAGTTGCTTAGGGCCTCACTGAGTTGCTCAAGCTGGTTTTGAACTCAAGATCCTCCTGCCTCAGACTTCCAAGTTGCTGGAATTACAGGTGGGCACCACCACACCCAGCTTTGTTTCCCATTTTTTTCCTCCAGGGTTCAGCACAAAACTGAGTGCTTTGCACAAAATTGGCACCAAAATAGGCTTATTAAGTGATTTTTTTAAACGATCTTTTTAAAAAATATTTTCCCAGATGATAATCTAACCACTTACACCATTACTAGTGACCTTAATGAACCAGAAACCTCACTTACGTGTCCACATGCTCGACAATGGTGCCTTCTCCTTGTCAGTGCATTGAAAGGTTCCTTGCATTTCATACACATTGTCACTTCATTGTCTCGGATCCATCTCGGGGCTCTTTTCCCTAGCTCAGCAGTCTTAAACAAAAGGAAGAAAAAAAGAGAGAGATATAATATTAATAGAAAAATTGTAATTTCCCTTTTTATTAAAAAAAAAAAAACTATTTTAACAATTGTATAAACCATGTTCTGAAACTCAAGACCCAAGAAAAGAAATCAAAGATTCAAAGAAGTTTAAAGAGTGTCACTCACTACTGTATCCATCAAGAATGAATGAGATTCTGTCTGAATAGCCAATTTTGGCATTGTGAAGGAAAAGGGTCAGATCACAAAATGATTAGATAGATCTTCTGCAACTTTAAAGAGATAAAAGAGTTTAAAACTAAGAACTTAATTCAACTTACAGAAACCTCAGAGTGAATGTCATTATCCTTTGCAATCGCATTTCTGAAGGTTTCATGCCTTTGATGAAAGGCATCAATGGTCTCTTGAAGGGCCTAAAATATAAATGAAATTCAAAGCACACATTAAAGTATCACATGACAATCATGAATACACTTTATCAAACAAATATCCATAATAGGAATCATCTTAAAATTAAATAAACTTGTTCTGATGATTATATATTTAAATAACAGAACGATGTGCGCAAATTAATGTATGCCTAGGTTGCCATAAAACAAAAATGAAAATAGAAATCAGGCTTACCTTGATCCATTCTTCTTTGTCTTGCTCAGAACTAAAACAAAACAAAATTAAAGTGAATGTGGAGAACATTAATTAATTACACCTGGTGAATAAAACTGCTTTCATGTTGTTCTAACTTCCTGGAAAATTCAAGAATGTCCTGAAAGGCATTACAATAATTACACAATGTTTGGCAACTGAGCAAATAAATTCTTCTGAGATACAGTATCAGACTACCTATTAATTTTGGTGACCATATATTTTGTTGGGGGCGGTTAGGTTAAGCTGCCATGCCATATTGCCCTGACATTGAGTGAAATACCCTCAGCTAGTGGTGTTTATCAAGTGGCCCTATACATCTAACATACTGGACAAAGCAGCTAATCCTCCAATCTCCTAAAATACATGAAGGCCCATCTCAGTAAAAAGATTGCAATTATCCTTGCATCTAAAATTCATTACAGATAAACCAAAACAGATCAGCATTTTCAATGCCTGCAGGAAGGAGGTTTCACAGATTAATGGCGCCAGGGCTTTATAATTCTCTTTATGGAAAAAAAATTTCCTCCACTGTAGTCAAGTCCCTGTCATCCCGTTGAGTCAAGTTTTACTTCCTCTCCCCTATAAGAAGCTTATGTAGCTGACTGACTATTGTCACATTAAATTTGAAAAAACACTTTCGGGAACTCTGAATGATCTTTAAATTTTGAAGAATATCAAAGAGTGCCTGTTCATTTACCATATTTGGTAGGCTAGAGCCAAGTGTGAGTTCCAACCTAATGTCACCTACCTCATTCCAACAGGTATCCAATATGATTGAGATAACTGGAGGTTTGTTCCTGTGACACCATCCATCTATCCATTATTTATTATCTTTTTTTTTTTTGTACATGTGATATTGGGGATCGAGCCCAGGACCTTGCACATGTGAGGCAATCACTTCACCACTGAACTATATTCCCATTTCTTTGTGAGAGAGGATTCTCACTAGATTGCTGAGGTTGACCTTAAACCTGCCAATTCTCCTGTCTCAGTCTCCCAAGTCACTGAGATTACAGGTGTGCGCCACCATGCACCATACATGGCTCCAATATTTATTACTGAGTATCATAATGTGCAGGAATGTTGGTAGAATCTGTAAAATGGAAGATTCTGCTTATTGCCCACCTAGAGGCTTAAATCTGTTTCTCAAAAGCAAAAATATAAGCAACTACCTATTGCTTTGCCCTGTCACCACAGCTCTCCTACTCTGGAAGCATAGTTATTAGCTACTTTTAGTCTTCTAAATGCAGACAAAGACACTTAATAAGAATTTAATGTCTTTTTTCTTACTTTTTTACTCTTGGCCAAGTTTTTCTACTCCTTCAATTAATTTACTTATTACAATATTTTAAATTTCACTTCCAATAGAAAAGTATTGCACAAAAATTAGATAAAACATAATACTTGGGGTGGGGGTGTAGTTAAGTGGCAGATTACTTGCCTAAAGTGTGTAAAACCTTGGAGTGGATCCCTGGGCCCTGCCTCAAACAAAACAGAACCCCCACCACCACAAAACCCCAGAATACTTTTTATCTTTTTAAATGTGGAAGAGGAAGCATAAATGCAAGGGGTCAGTCCTGCAGTTGACTCATACCTAAGCAAGAAAAGGGGAACTCTTTTTTTTCCCAGCTGGCTTCAGAAGCAAATTCTCTTTAAATGTTTTCAAATATATACCTAATTTTTTGATTTTTATTTTTGTAGTATAGGGGATTGAATCCAGGACCACTCTATCACTGAACCATATTCCCAGTCTTTTTCAGCTTTTATCTTGAGACAGAGTCTTGAGAAGTTGCCTAGACCAGTCTCAAATTTGCAATCCTCCTGCCTCAGCCTCCCAAGAGTTGCTAGTATTACAGGTGTGTGCCACCATGCCTGGCTTACACACCCAATTTTTAAAACTTTTTCTTTCTTTCTTTTTTTTTTTTTTTGTGTGTGTGGTGCTGGGAATTTAACCCTCAGCCTCATGTAAATGTGTAGAGCTACGGATACTGAGCCACATCCGTAGCTCTACACATTTACATGCAATTTTTAATTGTACATAAATCCCTCTGATTCTCTTTTGAACCCTAATGTTTGTCTCTATTCTTGAGAGCCATTATAGATCAGATGGAAAGTAACCATTTAATCCAGATTTTTTATATTACCACATTATCACAAATATAACTAGGAGAATAAGAAATTCTTAATGAAGAATAACCATGTTTTTGATACTAACTGGAATATTATAAAGTGATGATTGACTGTGCTTAAGAAAATTTCTCCCATCCTAAAAAGCAAATAGCCCAACTTGCTAATGGAGAGCTAATGTCTCCTTGTAGGCATCCAGAAACCTTAGAAAATCTTTGCATTCTCTCCTCTGATGTAACACCTCTTGGGTTTGTAGATTTGGAAGTATGCTGCAATTTTTTTTTTGTGCAGTCTTTTTTATTTTCTATTTTTTAAAATATGCATCACCTTAATTCTTCTGCAATTAAGACTTCTATGATGATCATAGAATTGACTAGTGCTCCCTATTGCCAGGGCCAATAACTCAGACACTGAGTGAGGCCTCACATCAAAAGCCTACAACATAGCATCATACATTTTCCCATGAGTTTGGGTGGCTGAGGCCCAAATCCTACCACGAGGCAGGATAACCATGACCCTCAAAAGCCAAGCCCTCTACCTTTTAAATTCACTTGAAATGCTACCTGTTAATCTTCACAGTATCCCCCGATTGCTCCCCTAATAATGGGGTTTTCAATACAAATTCTTTGTGGGAAATCAAAGAATTGGCTGTTCCTTCAAACTTTCCCAGTTTGCTACACCTTCCACAGTGGTAATCTCACCAATTCTCAGACCTCCTAGGCACAGATTCTAGATAAAATGATATATTCTTGCCAGATGCAGTGGTACACACCTGTAATCCCAGTGACTCAGGAAGCTGAGACAGGAGGATCACGAGTTCAAAGCCAGCTTCAACAAAAGTGAGGCTTTAAGCAACTCAGTGAGACCCTGTCTCTAAATAAACTACAAAATAGGGCTGGGATTGTGGTTCAGTGGTCGAGTGCCCCTGAGTTAAATCCCCAGTACCAAAATAAATAAATAAATAAATAAATATTTTTTGTTGAAAGCTTGAATATTAAACTCCTAGACAGTGACTATATGTAAACCAGGGTGAATTCACCTAGGCAACCGGAACCACATGCTGTATACAGAGGAACAGAAGGGCTCTCTGACTCTACATGGATTATCGGGCACCAACACAGTTAGAACTGGGATTGGTACTTTACACTCAGATCTGTGATCTTATGGAGTGTCCACATTTTCACCTTGCTAGGCCTTTGTAGACTAAATGGAAAACTGTCTTCTAAAGCAGATTTATTTCACATCCTGACAGCACCTTGTCTTTCAGAGGTTCATTCATAAGATAGTCAGCTATGATCTGCTGTGGTTTTCCTAGTTCTTCCTAGGAAAAGTTAGTTCAGAACTCCAACCTTTTCTCTCCTACTCAATAAGGTGCATAATTAGAGCCATATTCTCGAAGTTCTGATTGCCAAAGGACTCCTTTCATGTATCTTACAACTGACTGTGGCAGGGATCATTACTTTGATTACCCTGTCAAACATTTCTTTCCATCAAAGTGCTTCTAGGTTCCAAGAATACAGAGCCCCTAAAGGACTCAGCAGTTTAGTATGGAATAGTCATCAAACAAATATTTGAGAAGCAAGAGGAGGAATAGAAGGCTGATTAGGGGAGAGCAATTTCTTCCAAGTGTCAAGACTCTGACAACATGTAGCAAACTCATCTTCCTAGTACCTTGTTATTCTGAAGAGATAATCAACTGAGTGAATGCTTACTGACCTAGGCACCATGGGGAGAGGAAGTCATGATGTCTGTCCTTCAAGAGCTCCCAGGTCTCTATTTACATCCAGTCAGATTCCCAGGGGTCTGTAGCATTCACTTGGGAAAAAACCCTCAGCACTACTCTTGAGCTATAATTTACTCTGATGTTTGGGATAAGCATTGGGACAGCAATGATTCTCTTACCTGGCCTGTAGTTCCAGTGTTCTCTCTTTTCCAGACACCTGGAATGTGTATGGATATTCTTCATTATGAGTCTCTACAATTTTCATTCCATCGATGCCAACCCTAGTCCGAACTGTGAATTTTGAGCCTACCAAGCTGAATCTGGGCACGCAGTACAGTAACATGTTGTTGAACTGCAAGAAACAGAATGTATATCAATACACAATAAATAGAGAAAATAAGGAAAACTGACCAATATTAAAAGTAGACCTGGACAGAAATTCCTTGGAATTCCAGGGAATATGGTACTTCCTACTTGAGGAAAATTTACCCCTACATTAAGATTTTTATGCTTACATTTTTTAAAAAAAATCATACAATTTTTGAAATAGTTTCCTTTCATGATTCAAATATTTTACTAATAGGTAAGTAAATCAATCACCTTTTTATACCACTGCTTTAAGAAAATTAGTTCAATAAGTTTGATAAAAATTTATTCAGGACTTTTGATATACTAGGAATTGAAGTTGTTATGTTTTTTTCTTTTGTTACCATTTATTTATTTATGGTACCAGGGATTGAAGCAATGGATGCTTAACCACTGGGACATGTCCCCAATCCTTATTTATTTATTTTGAGACAGGCCTCACTAAGTTGCTGAGGCTGGCTTTGAAATTGCAATCCTCCTGCCTCAGCCTCCCAAATTGCAGAGATTATAAATGTGCACCACTGTGCCTGGCTTTTTTTTTTTTTGTAAATGGTATTGAGGATCTCCAGGGTCTCATGCCAGACAAGCACTCTATCACTGAGCTATATCCCCAATCCTTAACTGAAATTCTTTTTTTTTTACTTTATTTTATTTTTTGAAGTTCTCAACTTTGGAAGTTAAATTCCTGGCCAGGTGCAATAGTACACACTGTAATCCCAGTTACTCAGGAGGCTGAGGCAGGAGGATCAGTGGTTGAGTACCCCTGGGTTCAGTCCCTGGTACTATAAAAAAAAAAAAAAAAAAAGAAAGAAAGAAAGAAAGAAAAGAGCTGGGAAAGAGGTACACACCTGTAACCCCTGCTACTTAGGAGGCTGAGGCAGGAGAATTGCAATTTTGAGGCCAACCTTGCAAGTTAGCAAGACCCTGTCTCAAAAGGACTGGGGGAATATAGCTTAGTGGCAAAATGCCCCTGGGTTCAATCCCCAGTATCAGAAAAAATTTTAAAAAAAGAGAGAAAAAAAATCCTGATCACCAGCACAGACCTATGAATCCTTGAATCTTCAAAATTTATCACGTAAATTTACAGAAAACCCATCAGTTAGTATCAAGAGGTTTTTAAAGGTATGACCTTATTCTTGTCTTGATAAGGTGTACTTAAAAGAAAAAAAGAAAAGAAAGGTTTTTATTTTGAAACTGAATCAAAATTATTATGTACATTGCCTCATTTCTGGTCAACAATTAACAGTCCTTGCTAGGACCATGAACAATATAAGACTGACATAACAGAATCTGATTTTTTAATGACTTTGTGAAAGCATTTATTTCACTTTTTTGGTGAGAGGGATACAGAGGATTGAACCCAGGGGTGCTTTACCACTGAGCTAAATTTCAAGCCTTTTTTATTTTGAGACAGGTTCTCACTAAGTTGTTCAGGCTGGCCTTGAATTTGTGATTCTCCTGCCTCAGCCTCCCCAGTTGCTGGGCATGTGCCATCACGCCCAGCTATTTCACTTTTGAATATGTTAAAACATACAGAGAAATAAAACTCTATAAATATTTGGGTTAATTTGTGGGCAGATTTCTAAGAACAGGTCCATACTTCTTACTTCATATTTGTTATTTAAATTGTTTCAAGGGTTACATATATTTTTCTTAGGCAAGAGTTACTAGGAACTAAAAATGATCTTTCGCTTTTCCAACAGCATTTGCCCTAAATTCTAACTTTTTTTTTTTTTCACATGCTTCATCAAGATTTCTTAATTTGTTCTTTTTCAAATTTTCTCTAAAATTTTACTATAAGCCCTGACTTTACTGCTTAGGAGGTGTGTGAACCCTCATGCTTCGGGGTCATTATCTGCAAGTCACTGGTTGCTAAAAAGATTAAATGAGGAAACCAAATGGTAAGTATTTAGCACGGTACTTTGCACATACAAGTTACTTAAATTAAACAAGTTGTCGTAGGATTTGATTCTTGAGCTTTCCTCCCAAGCCCTCTGCTTGGCTCCATACTATGTTCTAAGAGGAGACACATCAATGGATATTTAAATCATCAACATGTTTATTCGACACAGTCCATTGTGCTCATTCTGAAAGTACATTTCTCACCAGTTGTTTTTCGTTCATCATTTTGTAACTTCCTATAACCACCGTCATCATAAATTTCAGTTCCACACAGGGGAACATAGTATTAAAAGAGCACTAAATGCATTTAACATATATCCCAGTATCATCTATTTATATTTCTAGTAGAGGACCTAAGCCTTTATCATTAACAGCTCACTAAGTTCTGTGTGTGGCCATGACAGCCTCATTGTAGTAGATAGAATTTGGAGATTTGAAAAATCTCCCAATGTTCTCATTGCCAATTCTGTATTGTAGCTTGACTAAGCCCATACCTTACTAATTTTCTGGGGAAGGGGTGACATTGAGGATTGAATCCAGGGTGCTCTACCACTGAGCTATATCCCCAGCCCTTTTTGAGACAGGACCTCTCTAAATTGCTGAGGCTGGCCTGGAATTTGCAGTCCTCCTGTCTCAGCCTCCCAAATTCATGGGACTGCAGGCATGCACAACCACATCTGGCCTGTTTGCTAACTTTTTGAGTTAACATTTCTTTCCCTCTCCCTTCCAACCCCCTAAGGAGGAGATTTGGTTAAGACTGTATGTTGGAGGGGCTGCAGAGCCACCACCACAAGGACAGCTCACACTTAACCAAATTGTTTCTGAAAATGGAGTGACAAATGTAGTATTATAGCATAAAAGAGTCAAGTTACCTGATACTTGTGTTCAGGTTCACTTTATAGTCTTGTTGGTTTATAGACGTATAAATACATGAATATGGAGGATCTTAGCATTTGCCTTTGGTAGTTATTCTCATAAGATGACAGACAGATGTAAATATGTTTCTCTTTCCTTTTCATGCTTTCAGGACTACCTTCCTGAAACTCTTCCTTGGTAGGACTTCACAGTATAAATTGTAAATAACTACATATTATCCTTAAAGAACTCTGATCACAATCTAATGCTGGTTAATAAATACCTTCTGTATTCACAGAGATGAAAGTGGGAGGTTTTATAGGATATAAAATATTGCCTCACAAAGATTAGGTGCCATATCTGTAAAAAACAAGGTAGCTGGTCCTACTCCCTCTCTGAAACTTGCTCCTGTGGCAAAAGCCCTGTCACCACTACTAAGAGAATCTCTTGTCTCTGGGTTTCCCCTCATACTGAAAGAAGAAGTTGCAGCAGCCATAGCACCAACAATGACTTTTTCTTTCACTGTAGGAGATTCACTTTCTTCTTTCTTCCTATCCATAGTTGAGAAGTGGTAATCAGCAAAGCACTGAGTAATGAGGCCATCTGTAGAAGTCCTAGGTTGTGACAAGACCTAGAAGCAAGTTCTCAATCTTATCTTTAAAAAAAAAGGGGCGCGGGGTTGGGGGCGGAGTGGGCGTGGTGGCTCACGCCTACAATCCCAGTGGCTCAGGTGGCTGAGGCAGGAGGATGGTGAGTTCAAAGCTAGCCTCAGTAAAAGCAAGGCGCTAATTAACTCAGTGAGACCCTGTCTCTAAATTAAACACAAAATAGCGCTGGGGATGTGGCTCAGTAGTTGAGTGCCCCCGAGTTTAATCTCCAGTGCCAAAAATGGGTGGGGTGATCTCTGCAGCTTGATCTCTAGTGTGCAAGTGTTTCTAACCTCTTACAATATGTTCACTGAAATAATCCAATTTCATTGAAGTTTGTTTTAGAAGGTAATAGAAGAGTGTTGGAGGAAATTTACAGTGACTGATCTGTATATTTAAAGTTTAAATAAGGGAAAAAAAAATTACCTAGCAAGCTCTAACAAGGAATAGAACAACTACAAAAGGCCAAGAATAAAAACTCTTGGGCCATTTTGTGGAATAATTTAGTGATTTTTATTTTAAAACCTTCAGATCCCAGATAAGTTGATTTGATTGTGTGTGTATACTTTTTTTTTTATTGGTTCTTTTTAGTTATACATGACAGAAGAATTCATTTTTATATAATTGTACAAGCATGGAATATATCTTATTCTACTTAGGACCCCATTTTTGTGGATATACATGATGGTTCAATTCACTATGGTGTATCATGTAAGTACACAGAAAAATTATTTCTGATTCCTTCCACTGTCTTTCCTTTTCTTATCCCCCTCCCTGCTTCCCTTCATGCACTTTTTTCCTAATCTACTGAGTATCTGTTCTTCCCCAGCCCCCTTGTTGAGGATTAGCTTCCACATATCAGTAGTGATCTAGTTAACAGAGTAACCTACATCAACATAAAGAAGTGAAAATGTAGTGTGGAAGCAAGCAAATAGGAACGAGTAAGGAGCATTTGGATATGGAATCAGATTCTAAACATAGTTTGACTTTTAAGCCAAATTTAATATCCTGTAGTAGGGAATCAAAAGCTTGCCTTCATTTTCTCACTAGAGAAAAAAGAAAAGGAAAACGCTACTTTTGAAGTTTCCACTTATAGAAGAACAAGATGTTCCCTAGGAATAAACACGACAAGCACAGTCTCAGAGAGTGGATTCAATGAATGAACCTACACAGTATGTGATTCTAGAATGGTCTTCAAAACACATGGTTTCCTAAAATTCCTGCTATGCCACTCTACCCTCCTGGGAGGTAATGGTGTGGTATATTTGACAGCCGATGGGAACTGGATGAAGATGGGTCTTTTCCTCAGTTGCTAACTGCCATATTCCACCCATCCCCCATGCCCAAGGCTCCTGCCATCTCTCTTCCAAACAGCAGCTTAATTTGGCTTTTCATCAAGATTCTCGACCTCAAACTATTTCCAGAATAATTTTGAAATGTGAAAATTAAACCAAGACAACTGGTTAGACACAGAACTAAAAAGTTTACCTATAGAGACTGTAACACTAATGAGGAAGAAGAAAAAGGACCTATAATGTAAAGACAGAGCAGACATTGATTCCTGGAGGATTTTACTCAGAAAAGTATATTAAGCTGACTTTTTAATTCTATGTTGTTGATGCCTGGACATCTTCATGCCTTGCTCATACTGAAGGGACTGACCCTCCCAGGTGACCCAGTTCCTAGAGATAGTCTAAGAATCACCTGTGAGCACCCCTTCTGTACGGAAGCAAACACCCTCAAACACCCCCCCTCATCAAGCTGGGCTGCTGATTCCGCTGCCAGAATCACCGCCAAAGTCAGGCAGACAGGAGCTCACTGCAGTTCAAATTTGCCCATCCCAAGCCTTTTACTGCCTTGCCCATTATCTCCTGTGGAAGCCACAAAGGCTCCTGCCTACCACCCCTTCTGCTTGTGCCCTCTGCCTCTTCACTGCTGTCCCCTCCCCATGGTAGGAATAGCCCTCCTGTTGGGATCTGTCTTTTCATCTCTCTACCATTCTTTTTTTTTTTTTAAATGGTGGCAATGCTTTATTATCCTTTGAACTATGCCTACAATTCAGTCATTTGATAAGTATTTTTTTTTAGAGAAAGAGAGAGAGAGAAAGAATTTTTAAATATTTATTATTTTAGTTTTCGGCGGACACATCATCTTTGTTTGTATGTGGTGCTGAGGATCGAACCCGGGCCGCACGCTTGCCAGGCGAGCGCGCTACTGCTGGAGCCGCATCCCCAGCCCATCTCTACCATTCTTGAATAATAATATTTAGGTCTATTTAGTTCTCTGTATCACCTGGGAAAGGTGGTGTACCTTCTCTTTAGCTCAAATAAGGACTTTATAGTTAGATAATATTCATACATTTTAAAAACAAATAAAATTAATATACAATACAAATTTATCTTTTTTTTAAAAAAATTGATTTTAGTATAGTAGTAAACCGACGCTACTAGTTCTGGAACTCTAAAATGAAACCTTATGCCCATTTCTCCTTCCCACCAGCCTTAGGCAACCACTAATTATGTAATCGGTGCATTTGCCTATTCTAGACATTTCCTATAAATGGAATCAGAGTATGTGGCCTTTTGTGACTGACTTCTTTCATTTGACAGTTTTCAAGATGCATCCATGTCATATATTATCAGTACTACAATCCTTTTTATTGACATAAATTCTTTTTATTGACATAAAATAGGATAGGCCATTGTATAGATAAACCACACTTTAACCATCCATCACTGATAAACATTTGGGTTACTCATATTTTTGGGCTAAGATGAATAATGCCATATGGATGTTGATACATAAGTTTTTGTGTGGACATGTGTTTTCAATTTTCTTGAGTTGAACAGACTTGGAGTGGAACAACTGGGTCACATGGTAGGCAAATATTCTTTAAAAAAGAAATGACTGAGAGATACTGAACATCCCTCTTCATGACAGCTTGCATAAGGTTTCTTTTCAAAGAAGGCTGGAAGCAGTAGATAGAAACTTCTCAGGCCTTAAGAACAACTCTGTGAAATGAATGCCTGGCAGCAGAAAAGTCTGCCTAGGCAGCCTCTTCACCAATGAGTCTTTGTTCTTTGCCTTTAATAACAATCATAATAAAGCTAGTTGACTGAGCCACTATTCAATGTGTGCTTGCTCTTTGTCATGCTAGCCATTATGATCCTTATTTTATTAGATACAGAAAAGAATCAGAATTCACTAAGGTAACAAAGAAATACAGGTCACCTGGACAGAAACTTAAAATAATAATAATAATGGCCTGGATGCCCCAGAAAGACTACTACATTTGAGATAAGCCCCAGACTAATTGTCATTTCCAGGAAGTGAAGGAAGAGACAAGGACTGGCAATGGTGAAAAGGAACTGTGTAGCAATCACATTTTCCCTATAAATACTTTAGACACAGCCTTACAATCTTGCCCATACAGTTTTTTTTTTTTTTTTACTCTAGAATGATTAAAAAAGTGATTACAGATGATTAGGAGAATTGCTGTCAGGAAATGGTATGGCAACAAAATACTCAGGAAATGGTGCCTATTATGTTGAAAATGAAAGAAAACAAGTAGACAAGGAGGATTTCAGAAAGTATACCATACCCTGCATATGCACTATTAGCATTATCATGGAATTCAAGGCTAAATTGTCTTCAATACGCCCTACTGAAGTAAATTATACCCATAAAGTACACCAAAAATAGTTAAATTTTAGTTACTTAGACTATTCCGTCCTTCAAACTCCTAACAGTGTTTACTAAATCAAAGCAGATGTAATTAAAAAAATAATATATATATATATATATATATATATATATATATATACATATATATATACATATTTTAAAAACATTTTACTTTTATGTGGTGCTGAGGATCAAACCCAGGGCCCTGCACGTGCTAGGCGAACACTCTATCACTGAGCCACAACCCCAGCCCTAAAAATATTTTTTATTTTATTTCTTTGTGGTGCTGGGGATTGAACCCAGGGCCTTGTACATGCAAGGCAAGCACTACACCAACTGAGCTATATCCCCAGCCTCAGATGTAATTATTTTGGGGAGCAAGCAAATAAGCATTGTACTTTTCCAAGATGTAAACAACAATTTTTCTTTTTGTAAATTATTCCTTTTTGGTAAATTTTTCTTATGTATCTTGACAACACTAGAATACTCACTAAGAAAAGATAGCGTTCTTGTGCTGACGTGTTCCGTGCAGCTAGCTTGAGGATCTGTCCTTCTTTTATTAGTTCATTGGAAGGGTTTACAATGTCTTCTTCTTCTCCCAACATTTCATAAATCTCCAAGAGTTTCTTTAGGTTCTCCTGGGAAATTAAAACAAAATACAGCAAGATCAAATACAGGAGGTGTCAATTAAGTGAAATGAATAATAATACCATGACCTTAACTAAAATCTGTATCATTTAGAAGGGATTGGGAGTGAATGTATTTTTTTTTTGTATAAAAATGTATCCGTAAATTGAAACCTGAGAGAATAGGGGAGAGGGTTACTCCAGGAAACATGAGACATTTTGCAAATGTTTTTTCTTGTTTACCTCTATCTGTTCACTTTGGTCCAAACCTACAGATAGTATTAGACTATGTTATGATAATTATCTAACCATAAAGTTCCTGTCTCCTCTAAAAACCACTTACCATTTTTCTTATTGCACTATTAGAATGGCTTGCTGCTGTAGATATAATTTCAAGTGATTCTAAATGGGAAAAAAAGAAAAGTAAATAAATATGTTTTGTCCTTCCTGGGCTACTATATAATTGAATAATTTACATACTTAAATAAGAAATCTGAGACCAAAAACACAATGAAAGTAGCAGCAATTTCCACTTACAAACTGTATACCTTCAAAACCTAATTTGTAAGCAGACTAACTGAACTCAAAGGGTACTTCCTTGTATAAAGTCATGTACGATGATGAGGCTCACAGGTATATTGAATTCATATAGACCATGAAAAGTCAATAAGCATTTACAGCATACACTAACTAGATTCAAAGTACTTTGTCAGGTGCTTTCATACACAGGTAGTCCTTCTATTTTTTGCTACAGTCTGAAAATATTACATGGAAAATTCCAGAAATCAAACAATAAGTTTTAAATAAGTTTTTTTACAGTGTACTATTATAATTGCTATATATTATTATTTTTTAATCTCTTTACTGTACCTAATTTATAAGCTAAATTTAAACATAGGTATGTAGGTATAAGGGGGAAAAACCCAGTACTGAACCCTATGTTTAAGACTGTGGTTTTAGGCCTCTGTGGAACATCTTGGAAGGTATCCCCTGCAGGTAAGAGAGGACTACTGTAATCAATTCTTATGTTATTAAAACAGCCTTGAACAGTAAATATATTTGCTCCATTTGGCAGATAAAAGAAATGAGGAAGAGTTGTGACTTGGCTAAGGTCACACAACTCTGAGGTTGAAGGCCAGATCTGAAACTGGGTCTTCTGACTCAAAGTTCTACAACATTTCGACAGAAAGTATTTTACTAGTTTCATAAGCAAATGAACCACTAAGCACAATAAAACTTTCTCTGTGAAAATGCACTCAGAATTCTAGTCTAGGTCTGATGAAAGGGAGTCTTCTAGAGTCAGTATTGTTTCTGGGGTGGGTGTTAGTGAGAACTCTCTGATATGGGACATCGTAGGAGCTCTGGGGCTGAGAATGAAGACCTGTGAATGCTGAGGGCTGCTGGATCAACCCCAGACTTTTCAATCCTAAGTCATGTTCTGTTCTCTTCCCTTCTTTTCTATCTTGTGAATGCTGGCCTGCTCTATTCTGTTACCGCAGCAACCCCCTCCCTTCTGGACTACATTTTCCGTCTTCTTTGCTCTGCTGAACAGAATGCACTTTTGTTAATTCCCTTTCCACTTTTAGGTCTAAAAGTCCTTCTTCTGTGATTTCCTTAGAATTTAATTGTAACTATTAATGCAAAGCCAAAACAAGTAATGAAATGCCCTACTATGTCCCACAACTTTCTTGCTTTTGACATGGGTATCTTAGGCAAAGACCATCTTTGAATATAGAAGACACTGCGTTTTATTTACATGTTTGAGAGTTCTTTACAGATTTGGGCAATTCTGTGTACCTGAGATAGGAACCAGGTTAGAGGGAGCCAAAGTAAGATGGAGTGGGGCCACTGCTCAAGATATGAGTTCCAGGAAGAGCAAGTGATTCCACCTCCAATCCACCACTGGCTCTGCTACTGGAACCCAGCACTTGAGCCAGATGGACAAAAAATGGGGGTGAGGCACAGTTCCTGGGGAGTACTGGGCTGGGAGAAGATGGTGAGCCAAAATCAAGCTAAACTACAAAAAGGGTAAATGGAAAGAGAAGTTTCACAGGTCACTTGGATGGTATGAGGAACATATAAGAGGCAGTTTATGTTCAAGAAAAGACTCAGGCTCCAGGGTCAAAGATGTTTTATGTTCCTCTTTTTTCATACCGTGGTCCCCTTATAATAGAGGGCAAGAAATTAGAAGAGGAAATTGTGGCAGTTAAGACTGTACATGAGTATCGTCAGTGCTTACTAAATATCAAGCCATTTTGATTCCTTAAATTTTCATCTCTTAACAGTTGAATGATTTTTAAAACTGTGCCAGAGGGCTAGGGATGTGCCTCAGTGATACAGCATGTGCTCAGCATGTGATTCGAAAGGCCTCAAGGTCAATCCCCTGCACAGAGGTACAAAATCACATACACAGAAACTGCACAAGAAACCTGAAGTATTAGCAGAATTTATGAATATTAAAAACAAAAGAAAAACCTTTCATTTTAATCTAATGAAAGAATCAAAAACAACTAAAAGAACTGGAATAAAGTTTTCTTGAGGAAAAAGTTAATAGACAATAAAAAGACCATTTCCCATTGTATCTAGGGTAGGTGAGGCCAACAGTGCTTAGGTTATTTTTACATATTAAATGCCATCTTGGTATTCTTGGTATGCATTGACCTATCTAATTAAACAGCAGCACTTGTAATTTCAAATGGCTGTGTTCTTCCTGTGAGATGGTAATTGTGTATTGCTATTCCGGATGTCTCTAAGACTATAGTTTTATATTTCACAGTTAGTGATTAAAGTGAATCCAGAGTGGTAAGTGTGATTTGCATTGCTTTAAACTTGTGATTTGGGCTCAAAACTGCCTTGCCTAATGGAGGCATTGATAATTTCCAGTGAGACTGTTTTCTGACAGCAATATTTGGCTACAGTAGCTAGCTGTGAGATGAATCTCACTTTGAAACAGGCTGCATGGCCACTTGATTATCTGATAATGGAGAAGAAAAAAAAAATTTTAAAGCATTTACTTTTTGCATCATTCCAGTCCGGGGAATCGGGGGGCAATTTCCTTAGGTAGTCCTTAAGGAGCATCTCATACCGAGGAATCCGCTGAACAGGTTCCAGCATGTGATGCTGCAAAGTTAAGCTCCCACAGATCTTCTGTTTCTGTTTTTAAAGAAACATTTAAAAATTAGGTTAGGCAATCTAAAAACTCACTATAATAACTTCCATCAACTATATTAAATATATTTAGGTTTTATTTTATTTGTGTGTGGTGCTGAGAATCAAACCCAGGGCCTTGTACTTGCTGGGCAAGTGTTCTACCAATGAACCACATCCAAAGTAGTCTCCTGGGTTGCTTTTAAAAATGCAGACACACAAACCCCCATCTATGAAATCAAAATTTCAGAGGGAAGAAGCTAGAGAAAATGCATTTTAAAACACTGCATATAAAGTCTAAGGCCCACTAATCTAGTGTAAGAACAGAAAGGGACAATAAAAAATCATGCAGAATTTTTTTTTTTTGATGCTGGGGATTGAACCCGAGGCCTTATGCGTGTGAGGCAAGCACTCAATTGACTGAGCTATATCCCCAGCACCCAGTCAAGCAGAATTTTAAGCCAGAAAATTCCAGATAGCTGGCAACCATTTCAATTAGTCACTACTAGGGTTTGTGAAGTCACATTATTAAATCATTCTACAGAGATTTTTCAAAAGATGCACCTGTATAATGAGATTCACTAACCACGAGTACATTAAATGTCTTTGGACTTAGCAGAAACTATTTCATAAATTTCATAATGAGGCTATCATAAATGGCATTTCCTTTGAAGAAAAAAAAAAAACCTCTAGGAGAATGACAAGATCTGGCATCTTGCTATCTGTTGGAACATTTTAATTTTTCATTAGGTCAAGGCATTCTTCATCATTAGAAACTAAACTCCATTTCTTAGGGCAAAATTAAGTCTATTTCACTTGCTTGCAATAGGTTGTTAACAAGAGAAGGAAAACATTCCACAAAGAAGAAACCCCCATTAAAAAACTGAACTACTACATGGTCAAGGCACTGCAGGATAAGAAAGCTATATTAGGCCCTGGTGTTTGCATTCAAAGCAAACAAGTAACTTCAAAGCCTCACAGGGAAGGGAGCATTTAGTGCAGGCTTTGGTGGGGAGGCAAGTGAGGAAGACTAGGGAGAAAATGCAAGGCAGCGGTACATGAAACATCTTCCTTCAGTAAAGGAGAGCAGTTGGGATTTTGTGGAAAATAAGCATGAGAAAATAGGGTATGAGGAAGAAAAGGCAATATGAGCTAATACTATCAGAAATTCTAGAGTTTAGATGAGCTTCATCTAATGCAGATTTTTGCACATGGGAGGGATTATCATTAGATCTGATTACCCTTCTTCAGAATGGCTTTACAGGGATGTGGGGAAACCAGCTTGGAAGTTGATGTTGTAGACAAGGAAGAAAGTTAATCAGGGCCCAAAATTGGCATGAAACCTGGTGGAGTAATAGCTTCCTTGTAAGATATTAATTTTACAAGTTTAATGATCTCATTTGATTTCCCCTAACAGATCTATATATCCATACCTTTATCTCTAGGAAAATATGAATGGTGCCAAAATTTTTACATGAAGAAACTGTAGCTCAGAGAAATTAGGAGAGTGTTCTAAGGTCAAACAGTTAAAAGCAGCAGACTAAACTATAAACGAGGCTTACTGCCAGTCTACTACTCTTTCCATTGTCATGCCATTTCTTCATATTTAGTGAAGACAGACACTGCAAAGGTAGAATTTAAAGTGTGATCAAACAACAGTAACTACCATCCTTAACTGAGTAATTACTATGCAACAAGCACTATGCGAAGCACCTTGAACGTACTATCTCAGAGGCAAATGAACACACATAGAAGGAGGAAAAATGACAGGTCACAGCTGAGGCCAAGCTCTGGTGAATAAGAGAACAGTTGTGTTGTCAAATCTAATCACCTGTCAGAATTATTATCTATTTTGTGCAAGGCATTAAAAAGTCAGATGGAAAGACATGCTTGGGAGCTAACTATAGAACATGTTGACTTTATTTATTTACTTATTAGTTCTAATAAGTTATACATGACAGTAGAAAGCTCTTCAATTCATTGTACACAAATGGGGCAGAATTTTTCACTCCTCTGGGTGTATGTGAAGCAGAGTCACACCATTCGTGCAATCATCCATGTATCTAGGGTAATGAATGATGTCTGACTCATTCCACTATCTTTCCTACCTCTTTGCCCCCTCCTCACCTCCTCTTTGCCCTATTTAAAGTTTTTGACAGGACCTTCATGTGGAATTGTACAAGCACACAGCACTCGGCCATTAGTAACTAGAGATTGGGGACAGAGGACTAGACTAAGGCATGTGGAAGTATGATGTCACTGAGAGTGTGAAGACAGACTGCAGAAGGCAAACCTTGGGCTCTGCTCACTTTTTAGTACTGCAAGAAGGGCTGGTAAACGATTCAAAGAAGCCAGTGTTCAGAGAGGTACATGAGTATTTAATCTTGAGAAAAGAGATGCTGATAAAGAGAGCAGAGGGGAAGCGGCAGGACTTCAGACCGAGTGAGGAGACTGGCAAAACCTCCCTATAAAAAGCAACTGCTGGGGTTGGGGGCTGTGGCTCAGTGGTAGAGTGCTTGCCTAGCACATGTAAGGCACTGGGTTTGATCCTCAGCACTGCATAAAAATAAATAAATAAAACAAAGGTATTATGCCTATCTACAACTAAAAAGGAAAAAAAAATTGAAAGAAAAAAAAAAGCAATTACCAAGCTGCAAAAAAATTGACAAACAACCATTTCAGCATTTTCAGAAGTTGCTCTAAGGCATACAACAATCTGGAAAGCATTTATGCCTTAACAACTGTTGAACTTTGAGAAAGAATAGTGAGAATCTATGGCATTTGAGCCCTGGGCTGCTCCTGTCCTTTCAACTCCATCCTGTGTTGCCAGGGTAGTAAGGCTGTGAGGACCAGCAGCTTCCCTGCTGATGCTTGGAAGTTTCAATATGGAGTGGTGCACAATGCACACGCCCAGCAGCATGCTCAGTAGAAGTGAGGATCTCTGGGGTGGAGGAGTAGAGGGTCCAGTGGCTCTACTAGCCAAAAGTAATAGCTGTGGATGGACTAATCACATTCATGGCTGAGACTGGAGACAGCCCAAGTCAGGATACTCACCTGACCACCCTGAGGCTTTGTACACATGGATACAAAGTTTTAAAGAGCCCAGTAGACTTGACAACTACCCAATCTTTAAATGGGTCCCCTTATTCACAGCCAGGCCCAAATGTTGAACACAACCTTTCTGGCTCCAGGTAACCAAACACCTCTGTCCAAGAGCTGTTTGTACCCTAACAAATATAGACATACGGGTAATCCCCAGAAAACCAGGCTCACAAATACAGACATGCCAACAAACAGCTTGAAGGCAGACATCAGGGACTGCATAGCAGAGGAGTAACAGGTTTCATCCATTTTGTGTAAGTTAGTTACCAAACAAAGAAGCAAACAAACAAAAAATAATGACAACCACTGTCAGTGGAGAAATCAAAACCCAGAGTTGATATGATTTTGGATTATCCGAAATATCCAATATCCAGAAAAAATATAGATGAAGAAAAAGTAAAGTGTGACCTATAAAAGAGACAAAATGGAAACTAACAAAAATGGTGTGAGTACCTTTAGAAGTTAATGTGGCAGACAGAGTCTTCAATGTATGTTCAAGGAAATGAAATGACGTTTGAAGAATTCAAGGAAAGTATGAAAAAAAAATGAATGTACAAATGACAATTTTCAAGGAGGATTCAGACATAATTAAAAAGAGAGAAGAACCAAATGGAAATTCTGGAGTTGAAAAGTACAATAACTAAAAGAGAAATTCACTATAAGCATTGGACAGCAGAATCTGAGATGACAAAACAATTAGGGAACTTGAAGAAAAACTAATAAAAATCATACAATCTGAAGAACAGAGAAGAAAAGATTAAAGATAAGTAAACACTTTCATAAACTTGTGGGATAACATCAAGAATAGCAGCATTTGTGTAACGGGATTAAAACAAAACAAAACAAAAAAAACTTAAAGAAATAATGGCCAAAAACTCCTAAAAATGATTTTTAAAATATTAATCTAGAAATGAAAGAAGATCAACCAGCTCAATACAAATACAAAAAGATCCCCACACAGATACATCCTATTCCAACTATTGAAAGCCAGCAACAAATAACAAATCTTGAAAGCAGGAAGAGAAAAATGATTAATCACACACAGGAAAGTACTGATAAAATTAATGACTGGTGGAGGAAAGAAAGCAGTGAGAGTGACCATGTTCAAAGTGCAGGGGGGAACCTATCAGTTAAGAATTCCATCACTCCTTGGAATACCCAAAGGACTTAAAATCAGCATACCACAGTGAGGCGGCCACATCAATGTTTAAGCAGTTCAATTCACAATAGCTAAACTATGGAAACAACCTAATGACCTTCAACAGATGAACGGATAAAGAAAATGTGGTATGTATACACAATGGAAATATTACTTAGCTATAAAGAAAAATAAAATTATGGCATTTGCTGATTAATGGATGGAACTAGAGACTATCATGCTAAATGAAATAAGCCAATCCCAAAAGACCAGAGGCTGCTCTGAATGCAGATGCTAATTCACAATAAGGGTGAGGGGATAGAAGTTCACTGGATTAGACAAAGGAGAATGAAGGGAAGGGAGAAGGGATGTGAATAGGAAAGATAGTAGAATGAAACAGACATAACTTTCCTGTGTTCCTATCTGAAAATATGACCAGTGAAACTCCACATCATGTACAACTACAAAAATGGGAAGCTATACTCCACAAATAATATGTCAATATATTCTATTGTCATGTATAACTAACAAGAACAAATTAAAATTTTTTTAAAAATTCGATTTTACAAAAACGAACAAACAAAAAGAATTTGGTATCTAGTAAAAGTATCATTCAAAAGTGAGGGGGGGGGAGAATATTCCTGGATAAAAATAATGACTGAAGATTTCATTGTTAGCTGATCTACCTTAAAGGAAACAATAGTCATTTTTATACTGAAAGAAAATTACTCCAGAAATGGCAAATACATGGTTGAATATAAATGTTTTATAAATATATTTTTATATCCTCCCTTAACTTTTTAATATACATAAAATTTTGTAAAACAATTATAAATTATAAAACATCACTATATTGTCAGATTTAAAACACACAAAAAATGTAATATATATAACACTAATAGCACAGCATGGAGAAAGAGCTGTATTAGAGCAAAGTGTCAGAGAATAATATGAAGTAGGCTGTGATAAATGCATATTATAATCCCAAGAGCAGTCACTGGAAAGTAACTAAGAGTAGTTTAAAAGTAAGGATTATTAAGATGGTGCCATTATTTATATAATACAACAGAAGGCAAAGAACTATAAAATCCCAATCCCAAGATCGTTATGTGATGGAGAAAATGCCTTTTCAACTTAACAACTCTTTCAAAGAGTAAGTTATTAACAATTTTGACTAGAATATCAAAAGAAAATTACTATGGAATTATTAAAATGTATTATCCAGATTTGGTAGAATAGAAGAAAATCAGTATAAAGTGACCTAAAAATATTATTGTTATTCCAAAAACTCAAGGTTCACAGCAATCATTGTTTATATTTATATTCCATCCAACATGTGAAGCTCTGAAACTCGCAAAGGGGAAATTCGCTCTGCAAATTTATGTGAACCCTAATGCAGTCAGTCTCTGGTCTCATAAACAAATGGAGAATTTAGCACTTAGTATGTGGCCTGTGCCCAACAGGTATATTAACTTCTTAGAGATATCTTCGCATAATTCAGTAGAATGGGTATCTCAGACAAATTTAGATCGGCAATCTTAGATCTAGAAGACCATATAAATTTGATAGAAAAATTAATTCGTAACTTTGAAGAAAACTGTCCTGTTACCTGAATTTCTTCAATCACCAATTTGAACTGGGGAACTCGTTCTGTCATGTTTTTGACCAATTCCATTGCATTATCAAATCCCTTCACATATTCTCCATACATCTTAAGGAATGGCGCCAATTTCTGAAGGATGTCTCCAATCCGAGGAGTGGTTTCCCTGGATCGAATAAAGAAATAAATCTTTAAAGTTTTCTGTAGAACAAGCCAATTCACAGACTGCAGATGAAGTCTTCACTTTCTACACACACTCTGTGCTTCCTCAGATCCATCTTGCTGTGAGACGGGTAGAGAATAAAGAAGCTCTTTTTCCAAGGCAGTTGAGGAATGCCATAGTAAAGAGAGATGCTATGGAATCTTTGAAGGTCCAGGTTACCCCTGATATCTTGTCTTTACTAGTCAAAAGACAGTTTGGAGCACAGAGATAAAATGCTTTTCAGATGTCGCTGAAAACGTACCACAACTTCTTAGTCTTCAATGTAAAAAGTTGGCACAATGTCTAGCTAGAGCTGTGTGTGGCATTTCTATTTGAACTGAAAAGCTGAACAATACAGCATATTATATGACTGCCTTAGACGTATCGTTTCTGTCTACTCCTCTTACCATTCTTGCATTCGTTTCTCCAGCTCTGGCAAGAGGAATTTACTATGGAAGGCATTTATTGATGAAATGTTAGAAAAGATTTTATTCACCATCTCTGCTGGAAATGAACCTCGGTTTGCTTCTTCCAATAGTTTGCAATAAAATACCTGAGTAAAAGAATAAAGCAAATATTACTTCACTCTGTGGGTTAACCAACTAGCACTGTGCTAGGCCTGTAGCAGGACCTTTATAGCATTTTATTGAATAAATGGAGAAGTTCATGATTCAAGAAGTCGATTGTTTGAAATGTAGTAAGGATATATACTCTGATTTGGAAGAACCACAAATAAGAATTAGGAAGCTTGATTTTTAACCTGCACGCGGCTCCTATCTGTGGGATGTTAATAATATACCTTTCTGTGCCAGAGAAAATCCAGTTGAGGTTAATAGGATTTACCCTTCCTACCTACAGCCAGAGTTAAGGGATGTGAAAGTACTTTACATGCACACAGTAACTGTGGCGTTTCATTTCCGTTTATGTTTTGAATGACTTCTCCAGCACTTATTACATATTGCCCTTTATTGAAATTGGTTGACTTATATCTTATTTTTCCTTATTAAAATTGATGTATCTTGGAAAGGGAGGATACAGGATTTAGTTCCCACAACAGAATAGGCCAATGAGTGAACAAAAGTTCATTTCAGTTCTCAAATGTTTATTTGCTTTTTAGTAAACAATAAAACATGAAAACTTAAAACACTGATGGGGTGTGTGTGTGTGTGTGTGTGTGGGATCTTCTATACAGAGTAACAAGTCCCTTAGAGACAATTAAGAAAAAAATAATAATAAGGAAAAAAGAACCACCTTGAGCCTTAGCTATTCTCCACTAGGTCTACTATACCTCTTCATTGCCATTCTGTTAAATGTAGGCAGAAGGAGATCTGTTCCTTCATAATGTCCAGATGGTTGTTAATGTTCTAAATTCACCTCCACTGCATTTTCTTGGGAGGCAAAAAGAACAAAATTATGTCCTTAGAGATACCAATAGGTAGGATACTATAATAATTAATACTAAGATTCTAAAAGGTCAGCAACTGTAGCTAAGTTAATTTGGCTTAAGATCAAGAAAGAAAAGAAAGAGAAAGAAAAAGAAAGAAAGAAAATTTGCAAAGAGGAAAAGACATATCTTTACTATGAGCACCTAAATGTTCCAAGGTCTATAATTCCTGCGCAAGGAAAACAAGTTGCTGAAAAGGCCCAAGCTCCTCATAAATTGATTTTGTTTTATGGTGAAATTTCTTAAAAAGTGAGTATTTGAGCTATACACTATTTTAAATAGTAGAGTATATTAACCTCACTATTTGAGATAGAGAAGTTCTAGTTGAGGTTTTATTTTATAATGAGGTCATATAAGCTGGCACCTCAAGGATCACTGCACCAGGCACATAGATCACTCTAGACAACAAGGATAAGGTGTGCCAGGACAGTCTGTTTCCATGAAATTCCAATTTTCCAGTGGCAGAAAGTGGGTTAATTCTTACAACTAACACTCAAACATGGTAGCTTTAACAAGAGGAATTTATTTGCAGACAATCTATTAAATGTCATGTCTTTTATAGCTAAAGTAGGATTATAATGCATTAGTTTCCAACAGTTACCTTATAATGCATTTAAAAACTTCCCCAATAATATATTTGAAATAATACAAGGCTCCCCCCCCATGATGAAATACAAAATGTGATTAAGTTGATCCACATATTCAGCAAATATTTGCTGGATGACTTTATGTCAGTTACTACTACAAGTATACAAGGTTGAACAATTAAACTCAAAATCCTATAACTGCACCAACTAAGATCACTCTCAGATTGGTTTCTGCTAAACAAAAACAATTCAAACACAATCACACATATTCATGTTAGCGTTATAACCACCAATATCTTATTTAGATTATAATAGTAATATGGCTCTCCAGTCAGGATCAGAGTAAAGATAAAAAACAAAACAAAAACAGGCTAATGTTTAACACTGTGGGACACAGATAAAGTCATTTTGTGATTTGCACAGAAAGAAACCTCTACTTTTGTGAATTATAAAATATCCATACCCAGTGAATTCACCAATAATGCTGAGAGTGCTAAAGATTTCCTTGAACAAATAGCTTTCACTGGCTAAAAACAAGCCCATTTGCAGTTTCTATAACACTTTAATTATTAGGTTTAAATGATGTACAATGCTGAGACATAAAATGATTCTGAAAGGGAAAACATTACCTGATCTAAGAGGTCTAGTCGGTTGACGTAAGCTCTCTCTGTAAGCAAAAGTTCATTGGCTATTTTGTGAAGTTTTTGTTCATTAGTTTCCTAAAAATAGAGCAGATAATCACACATCAGGAAATGAACCCTGGACAATATTTCTCAAGTAACACCTCTCCTCTAATGGTTTGATCAAAGCAGTTTGCTCAAGTTTCTCAGGTCCTCAATTCATGTCAGCCGACAAGACAGAAATGTCTATCTGTTCATCCAGACAGAATTGAACAAAATTAGAACCAAGCAAGCAATTAGGTTGGAACTACAGCTTCTTTAACTTCTGTAGCAGCAGTCAACACTACCATTTGCCTTCTCCTCGAAACATCTTTTCCTTTTCTTAGCACTACACTTAACTCATTTTCACCTACCTCTCAGGCTATTCTTTGGAAATTATTTCATCACTCTCCCTAATGTCTTGTCTAACTATTGACTCTATGCACAAAACATTTTGCCTTTAAAAAATACTTTAGGGGGCTGGGGCTGTAGCTCAGTGGCAGAGCACTTGCCTTGCACGTGTGAGGCACTGGGTTTAATCTTTAGCACCACATAAAAATAAACAAATAAAATAAAGGTATTCTGTCCATCAATTAAAAAAAATACTTTAGGAAAATTTCAATTATGTCTAGTAGTAAAGACAACAGTAGATGAACTGTATGTGTCCCTTGCTGAGATTTGTAGATATCAACTCATTGTTAATGTCTATGTTTCACCTGTGTCCTCCCTCACCTCATTCTACCCCATTATTATTTCTTTCCTTCCATCTCCCCATTTTTGTGGTATTGGGAATTGAAATCAGGGTCTTAAGCATAATAGGCTAGTACTCTACCAGCTGCAACACCAGACTTTTTTTTTTATTTTAAGACAGGGTCTCCCTAAGTTCCTAAGGCTGGCCTTGAACTTGTGATCCTCCTGTTTCAGCCTCTCAAGTAGCTCAGATTATAGGCATGTGTCACTATATGCAGCTCCACCTACATTGTTTTCAACTAAATTCCACTTTATTATTTCCTCAGTATGTTTGTACTTAACCCTCAGATATATTTGTACAAGCTTGTTTCATAATTATAGGGACATTTTTTCCCAATCAACAATGATGGTATTTTGCCCTAAATTTACTGAGTTCATCAATTGAGGAATTTACTGAGTTGACTAATTGAGGAAATGATGACTATATAGTTCTTATTTCAATTTTTTGAGACCACAGATTATTTACACATTATAAAGACTTCACATAAAAACACCTTATTCCAATGCTTCTGTAATAAGCAACATAATTTTGCACATTGGAATGAATATTACACCGAGTGCATAAAGTACAGGGCCTCCAACATGCTAGGCAAGCATTCTACCACTGAGCTACCTTCTCAGACCTATAGAAATATTTCTATCTGCTCCTGTGTTTACTACAATGCCTCCCTGAAAACACTGACATTCAATAAAATATTGCTGGGTGAGTGAAGGAGTACTAGCCACACATATTAACCACTTTGTCCATCTATTTATTAGTACTTTGATGCCATGTCAAACTCATTTTTTTTTTTTTTTTTGGAGAACCTCTCCCTCACTACCAAACCCCAAAGTTTCCCATTCTGGTAATGGTACTATCCCTTTTCAGTTATCTGGCTTCGGAAGCTTGAATTACTTTATTTTTGGATCCCTCCCATGGAATTAGACAGCTACCAAGTCCTACTCAGGATATGTCTCCAGCATTTACCCTTTAAGTTTTCATCATTGCCACCCTGTTTTGCACATATCATGTTATGCCCAGACCAATCAAGTTTCCAAATGATCTAATTCCAAAATTTGTTTCCTTACCGGCCCCCACCCTGTATATGGCTATATGAGTAATTGGTCTAAAGCTTTGCTTTGCACACATAATCCTACTTCCCATAGAAACAAAAGCTATCAGTATCCTTCCTCTGACTCAAAAAATAAAATCCACACTTTATGTACCATTTAGGGTAATTTAAACCTCTACTTACTTCCTGAAACTCATTTCTCACTCTATATTTAAAGGCCTTTTTCCCTCCAAACATATCAACTGAAGACATTTCATCATTATTCAAGCATGTCTCTGGCCATCTCTGCACCTTTCTTCTTTCCATCCTCTCTGCCTGGCACGCGCTCTTACTGTATGTCTCTACAGTCTAAGACTGACTTTTCCTTTGACAGTCAGCTGAATTTCTATTCCTTCAACTATTCAAAGCCCTCAGTCTTTGTCTTATTACAATGCACTATATTTTTTTAAATGCATTTTTTTTAGTTGTAGATAAACACAATACCTTTATTTATTTTTGTGGTGCTGAGGATCTAACCCAGTACCACACATGTGCAAGGCAAGCGCTCCACCACTGAGCCACAACCCCAGCCCTGCACTGTATATTTTATACTTGAGTCATATTACATTGAGGAATTTCTACCTAGAACTTTGCTGATATACCATTTTGCTCCAGGAGTATAATAAGGGTTTAGGAAAAAATAGTAGCAAAGTAAACCAAAGTATGTTTTAAGCCAGTGGAGTCTCATTTGCATATAGATGCTACACTTCATTTTATTGTTATTATTATTATTATTATTATTATTTTGAGATGTGTTTTCATCCTGTTGCTCAGACTGTCCTCAAACTCACAATCCTCTTGCCTCACCCTCCTGTGCAGTGGGAGCACTGGCACATGCCACCATGCCTGGCTAGATTCTACATTGTAAACTGTGGATAAAATGCTGTTAAGTTCTATGAATGCTTCTCTGTGCAACACATGAGATCTACTTTATGTTCTATGTGTGATATTAATTATAATGTGAAAAGCTATGTTGCTCATTACAGAAGCATCAGAATGAAGCATTTTTATGTGAAATCTTTATTAAAATGTGTAAATAATCTGTGGACTCAAAAAATTGAAATAAGAACTATGTAGTCATCATCTCCTCAGTTAGTCAAGATTTTAATTTAACTTAACAAATTCAAGGCCAAGTACTAATATTATTAGTTGACTGCCTGGCATCCTCTCCCACCCCGTGCTCCCCAATTTCTAAACGGTATCCACATTTGGTTAGATAAACCCTACTGCTGTAATAGTAATTTCTTTTGAGGAAACAGACCTCATTCTCAGGTCAAAAGGAAGACCTTGAATGATTTTAAAAAAATCAGTACAATGAGTAGTTCAGGAGGCAATGAGACAGGATGAAATATATATATATATATTGAGGACTCTGGCAACAGGAGCTCCCAATTCTTATGGAAAATCAGAGGAAAAGAGATTTCTTTGGAAATCTACCACATGAATAAGGGTTCCTGGAGTTCAATCCATGCACAGCCATCCTATAACCACAGGGACAAAGCCAATGAAGCTTGTCATTGTTCAGACCTGGCTAAATGTTATGTATGATTTAGAAGTATCCCAGCTTATATAGAAAACTTAAATACTATGATATGTGATATATTTAATTGTACACACATACATACATACACTCAGTAGATTCCAGGAAACTGAAAAACTCTCAAGCAACTCCTCTTTCAAGGAGAAAGAAAATAAAATTTAAATACTTAATAAAACTAAGGTGACTTCTGAACCTGTAATAAGTGACACAAATACAAAATATACATGAGAAATATCAATATTTCTGAGGAAGAAATAGAAAATAACACAATCCTTTACACAAGAACACTTGCCTGCACTGATATGACCAATCCTTCTGTTTTTTAAAGTCATATCCACTAAGGCATAATTTACAAATAATAAAATTCACCCTTTGTGGTGTATTTTTCTAGGAGGTTTAGAAAATGCATTAAATCATGTAACCACTACTACAATTAAAATGCAGAACATTTCCATGGTGACCAACCTTCTCTCCATTTCCAGATTCCCATACCAGCTCCTGGTAACCACTGATCTGTTCTTTCCCCAAAAGTCATGTAGATGGAATCACAATAAATGAGCTTTTTGCATCTTGTTTCTCATTTCGTGAGATGCATTTGAGATATCTCCATTTGTTTTTTAATGTCAATAGTTTGATCCCTCATTTTATTCTAATAATGATGATGAGTTTTCCTGACTCACACACAGTCTTTTATATGGTCTACTTCTAGTCTGTCCTTATCTTTTAAAAAAGCAGGCCAGCAGAATTTGTGCCATCATAAAATATTTTTCATAAGACAGAAATTGTGTCATGTGTTACTGCTATGCAATGAAGTCACCCTGGAGGTTTTCCACAGACCTACAGGATCTTAAATATGATGTTTATAAGAAACAATCTTTTGCTGACTTCAAGGCATATGTTAGCTGAACTTGGCAAATTGTGAATATTCTGGTCAAATTTTGCAAAATCCAAGAGGGATGTCAGCAGTTATTAGCAAAAGCTGTGCTCCTTCCATACAGATGGTCTTCTGTACATCAGTTCCCTGACCTTGCTAAAGCCAACACAAACATAAGCAAAAGTAAGCTTGCTGACATACGGTTTAATCACTCACCTACATATAGGTTTGCAGAAAAGTTATTAGGAATTTTGTGGTGAGAAAATCATGGACTCATGGATGCTTGCTCTAAGTTAATTAAAAAAATATATATCACCATAATAACAGTTAGCACTTATTCACTGATGGCTTGTTATGTGCCCAACACTGTTGTAAGGATTTCACATCAACTGACTATTCTTTATAACTCTATAAATTAGGTACCCGTTTTTTAAAAGTTCTATTTTTCATCAACACACACACACAACAAAATGAAATCCTGATCTGAAGGAAGTCAGGTAATTTACCCAAAGTCACACAGTTACAAAGTGACTGTATTAGATTCCTATCATATTGGAGAGTCCACAACTTTAAGTAACTATTCAGTACACAGTTTGACTCTCATCTTTCTTTGCAACAAAAAATAAGATTGTGGTGTATGCCTGAGAAGACAGACTGACAAAATACAAACTATATGCTTATAAAATCCACCTAAAAATGGAATGTGGTACCTATTATTCATTTTGATTTATATATTATTTTCCAGCACAAATTCTGTTTAAAGCAAACTTTTCATCATTTTAGTAACCAGGTGTGTAAAATTCAG